AGGAACAGTTTGCTTTCATGTGGGAAGGCCGTAAGTGAACATTCACTGTCCTTCCACAGGGTTACTTCCACTGTCCCACCATCTGTCACGGACCTGTAGCCCAGGACTTGGCCACATGGAAGAAACCACATGCGGTGCGGTTGTATTACTACACTGATGATATTATGCTGTCTGATTCTCCTGCAGATTTAGAAGGGTCAGTTCCTAGACGGTTGCAACATATACAAGAAAAAGGATGACTGAACAGCACCAAGGTTCAGGGACCTGGTTTGTCTGTAAAATTCTTGGGGGTTGTCTGGTTGGGTAAAACTGAAGTCATCCCAGAAGCAGTCATAGACAAGGTCCAGACTTTCCCTACCCCTACCACTGTGGCAGTCTTACAAGAGTTTTTGGGTCTTTTGGGCTACTGGAGAGTGTTTATCCCACACTTGGCACAAATTCTGAAGCCCTTACACTGGTTGGTACGAAAGGGCATCAGGTGGGAATGGGATGAGACATGTGGAGCTGCCTTTACTGTTGCTAAGTGAGCAGTCAAGGCCGGGCAGGGTTTGAGTGTAATGGACTCATCAAGGCCCTGTGAGCTAGATGTTCATGTAACTGAAGATGGTTATGGATGGGGCCTTTGGCAGCGGCTTGAACGGATACGCCAACCTACTGGATTCTGGTCACAACTATGGAAAGGAGCAGAGGTCCGGTATGCCTTGATAGAGAAGCAACTGGCTGCTGTGTACCAAGCCTTGCTGGCTATGGAGCCTATCACAGGAACAGCTCCTACCAAGGCAATAACCACCTGTCCCATCACGGGGTGGGTACAAGACTGAACCCAAAGGCCACAGAGTGGCCTGGCACAGATGCCTACACTGGCCAAATGGCGCATATATTTACAGCAGCACAGCGCCCTCACTACTAGCCCCTTAAGTGGTGAACTCCAATGCTTATTGGGGCCAGTGACCTATACCAGTAGAAAGCAGGAAGAACTTATTTTTGAGACATTGGTTGCTGAGAGTCCTTATCAGGAAGAAAAAGCCCCTATACCTGAAGATGCTTGGTATACAGACAGCTCCACTCGTGGGCAGCCCCTGAAGTGGAGGGCTGTGGCTTTCCATCCTAACACTGAGGCCATATGGATGGAGGATGGAGAGGGGAAGAGCAGCCAATGGGCTGAGCTGCGGGCAGTGTGGCTTGTGATCACCCAGGAGCCTTTCCCCACAGCTGTCTGCATTGACAGCTGGGCCGTCTATCGGGGCTTGACCCTGTGGCTACCGATATGGTACCATGCCAACTGGATGGTTGGTCAACGGCCCCTTTGGGGGCAAGAGCTGTGGCAAGACCTATGGGGCTCTGGTCAGACCAAAACAGTTACCATATATCATGTGACTGGATATTTGCCTGTGGCATCCCCAGGGAATGATGAAGCAGACACACTGGCCCAGGTGTGCTGGCTAGAAGGAAGAAAGCCTGCCTCCGATGTGGCCCAATGGCTACATCACCGTTTATTGCATGTGGGGCAAAAGACAGTGTGGGCTGTAGCCCATCAGTGGGGCTTGCCATTGACCTTTGAAGAAGTCAGCAAAGCCCAGAAGGAGTGCCTTGTGTGCTCTAAGAGGGACTTACACTGAATCCCGCAGCAACATGGGACAATAACTGGGCCAAGACCCCTTGTCAGGTGGCAAACAGACTATATTGGGCTTCTGCCCATATCAGAAGGATAGCGGTATGCCATGACTTATGTGGACATGGCTACTGGACTATTGGTTGTTTTTCCTGCACATTGTGCAGATCAGCAAACCACCAAGAGGGGCCTGGAGCGTCTCTGTGCAGCCTATGGCTGGCCACAGGTGACTGGGAGTGATCAAGGCACCCACTTTACTGGACATGCATTACAAGAATGGGTGCAGCAATTTGGGATAAAGTGGAAGTTTCATGTACCATATAACCCTACCAGGGCAGGCATGATAGAGAGGTACAATGGTTTGTTGAACTCTGGCCTGAAGTCGGACACCAAGTCTACAGGGCTGGTAGGTTCGCTTACGGACAGTGCTATGGTGTTTGAATGAGAAACCCTGTAAAGGAGCCTTGAGCCCTGTGGATACACTCACACACCTTGCTGCCTCTCCTATACAACTGTATGTGCAAACCAAAGAAGAGCTATTGAAGCCAGGATATGGCCAGCAGAGCAACATCCTGCTGACAGCCTCAAATGCATTAAACCCTGGAGACACTGTTGAATGGACAAGGCCCTAGAAATTTTGACACACGGACCAGCAATGACTGGCCCTTTTGGCACCTTGGGGAGAAGGCCTGGAAGCTGGCCTCCTGTGTGTTCCTGGAGTAACAGCAGAGTGGTCCCCAAAGATCACAGTAATGTACCCAAAACGTCTGGGAAGTAAGAGCATCTCATGGGGAAGTTTTGTTTTATCTTTATGGCTAGTGCATATACCTCCCACAGCCCTACCTAATGACTCATCTGTAACTCCCATAGGGAGGGGGGTGAAAGTCTGGTATACCCAGTGGTTGGGTGTGATGAGATCCCATTCCTGCCACTGTTCTATCACAGGACCACTCTCTTGCATGTATCCTACTTGATGGACAAGATTTGCCTGCGCTGGTGTCATTAAAACATGTACCTTATTGCCCTTAAGGTTATTTTCTTCTACAGTCCTTGTGGCCTGGATGCACCCTCTGACTGCAGCTGCTGTTGATGATTGCTCTGAACTTTCCACCTCTTCAGCTACTGCCTGCTGGAATGGGGCTTAATTTGCATAGGACTTTGAACCTAACTGAATCCTCTGGCTTGAGGACTGTCATGATTTTATTGCCGTTGCTACTGTATGTCATTAGTCTGGTCACAATGCTCCAGTTTTCTTGCCCAGGGTCCATTGTGGAAGAGGGGGAACAAGTAGATTGTAAGGTGAGATTTCTGGAGGGGTGGCCTGTAAAATTGTAATTATTCCAGAATCTCTTACCTGGCTTTTGTGCATCTCCATATGAGCAGGTGTTTGTAAGGGGTGGAGAGAAATAGTTCATCTCCACATCAATGGGTAATTACCTGGGCTTTGGAGGGCTTATCTGAACCTGAGAGGTTGGGAGGAGGTCTCGCTTGCTTCTGCCGGAGCAGGAGAGAGAAACAGCCCTGGACTGCAGTTTGTAAGCAATAAACAGGTTTTAAACTTTATTTCTCCCTTTGACTCATTTCGGTTTTAGAGGTATTCTGTGACGGGATTTCCTCTCCCTGGAGTTACAAGGTAATACATATTGCAACATCTTTGTATAAACAGAATTTTTTTGGGTGCATTATCTCATTCAATACATCCCAAGATCAGACACATCACAGGTTGCTGTGAAGACTAAACGGCAATGTTCAGAATGTGCCTGACAGGGGTACTGGCATATAGAAAGCTCTCAGTAATTGCTAACTTTTGTTCTTTCTTTCTCTTAATATGTTTGATGTAGAAAGAATTAGAGATAAATTACACCCCCAATCCTTGCCTGAGTTTCATATTTGGGAAAACAGAGATCTAGGATGAAGAGTACCCTGCTCAAAAGGTAAATTAGACTATCTCCATCCACCAGTAGGTGCTCTTTTAATCATACTCCATTCGTTTTCCTATGGTTCTGAGTGTTCATGATACTGTTCGTATTTTAAAATCCACTGTCACTTCAAAACTTTACATCAATATTTGGTTGTATTTTCATTTTGTTGACATACTTTTCCTATTACTATGCCATTTATCAACCTCAGGGTCAACCCATGATGACTGTCATTTCCTATCAACTAGGAACACAGAAAATAAGCACCTTCCCTCTCCTATATTTTGCCAACATTTCATCAAGTTCTATGCATCCTGTTGGGATTTTTGTTGCATAACATTTACACACACACAAAATAACATTCACTTATAATTCAACATAAGTACGATCACTTTGTTGTTACAACAAATACAGTATATTTCATTATCTTTGATTCCTTATTTTACAACCCATGATTTTCTTGACCCAGAGATGCACGCATTCTCTCGTTTGTATAGGCATCCCCCATTTCTGAAACTTCAGCTATGTCACTTTGCTTCTGTGAAAAACCTGTTCCATTAATACCTGCTTCCACTAATTAAAGAATCCAAAAAGGATTTTCACTTTTAAGGGCAAAGGTGGAAAGTATCATTTGGCATTTATTTTGCAGCAAGCCATGTAAAGGCAGAGCACACCCCGAGTGGTGAGAGTGGTGCTGCCCAGCTCCTCCTCCAGGAACCACGCTCAGAGAGTCAAGCCACCACAAGGGAACTGTGGGAGCATCTGTTCTTCAATCTTATCTTGTGTACCCAACTCACTAGCAAGATGTGTCCTAAGGGAGCAGATCAGAAAAGCCTATGAGAGGTTATTTTTTGGATCTGGGAACACCAAAAAAACTTTTACATCAATTAATGGTAACTGCTTCTTTCCTTTATGACATTTTGGCTTATAAAAAGTTTCACAGATACGCTCTACCTTCAGAGAGCAGGGGAAATGTTAATTGAAAAAAATCAATATTGAGAACAGGCTCTCTTTTGCCTATCATATTTTCTATGTATTAGTTTTTCTTGTTTTACCTTATTTAGTGACACCTATTAGTATACTTACTATCTCTAGAAGTGGTTTAATTAAATTTCTTGTATTTTCTAGTTGGTAAATGATATTATCCTGAAGTTTTACACTTATTTTCACTCTTCATTTAGGGATGAAGGTAAAAATGTTCCCAGACAGAAGGGCTCCTCTATAACGTTCCAGTTTTTACAAGACAACTTTATAATGATTTTTAAAACTATCCCTTTATTTCATTCACAGGGTAATGAGCAGGAATGGATGAGATTCGGTATCTGGTTAAGAGGATCACATGACATGGGTTATTATGTCACTAATCTTTTTTCAGTGAAATTTAACTTTCTTGGGACTTCAGCTTAACTCCAGAGAAACACATTTCTGTTTAGCTGTGCTCTCTAGTGTAAGTGAAAACTCGTACTCACAGGTACCATATGCAGGTTCCCACTGCAATGACATCATCTGAAACTTCTCCTCATCCGCCTCTACATCCAGACTGGAAAGATACTGTTTCACTTTCCTTGCCATTTGGGCATCCTCATAGAGTTTCTTGGCATTAAGCAGAGAGCTGCGACGAGCCCTTTTTTTGTGAGCACCACCCTGAACATCCAGCACATTTGAGTTTGTGCTGCCTTGACTCAATGACCTGTAAGAAGAGGCATATCACAGTAAGCAGCTGTAAAGAGGAGACTTAAGAGCAGCAGACTGAAGATTAAAAGAACTTTGTTCTGTTAATGCTATTGCATGCTGATGCAAATGAGTTAAAAGATGAAGAGCATTAATGCAAAGTAACATGGCATTCATGGTAATGTTGAGTTTTAAGACATGGCAAAGGGCAGAATTCAAAAGAAAAAGGCAACAAATTTCCCCTAAGCAACAAATTCCATCAGACCTGTGTTTGTCTTTAAAACCCATAGCACAACTGTGACAAGTAAAAGCATTTGTCTGCCCTGGTGGCCATCTACATACACTAAAGACACGGCAAGAGCCTGGGTCAGGACAGGCCCATCCTCAGCCAAATCTTGGTGCCAGGATGCATCAGCAAGGGAGTTTTTGGGGCAGCTCTGCTTGTCTATGCTGCTTTGGACATGCTACTGCCATCCCCATTCCTGCCTACGGGCTCCCTATGAGCATGGTGACCAATTTTATCAGTGGCCAGATTTGGGCCAAAATTCAAAGAGAACAACCAATAAAAAAAGTAACAGCATTTATACTCAATTCAATATAGTGAGAGATCAGAAATACAACAGAAAGCTACTCAATCTTCCACTCACATATAAAATGTTTAGATAATATGAGGGTTCTAGGACTGAGGGTCTGGGACCTTTCTTCCACAATGCCTCTGAATGTGATGGAACTACAAGGTGGGTAGAAATAACCACAATTCAAACAAGCTATAGCTTCACCCAACTCTACTTTTTTGGTCAAATGTGCTTATACACAGACTATTTCTAGAACTAATGAAAACAGTCTTAACTATTTGTCCTAACAAGGCTAGCAAACACAAGGTTCTTAAATGATTTTTATTTTAAAGGCAGTTACCTTTCCAAAGTAATGAAAGTATTTTTGGGTTTTCTCAGTTAGCCTCGTATTTACACAACAGTATTCTAAATACACAGACTAAACCGTAGAACAATTTGTTCTTCAGTGCTCACATACCTAGTTTAAAGAAGACACTAAAATTTTAATATTTTCATTGTAAATTAAGTGAAACGAAGTTGTGGAAGTGTTATGGTATTTTTTTTCTTTCACAATTTTAAGATCCCTGAAATAGAGTGTGCCTTACATTCAAAGGCAACTTTCAATTGCTATTGGTCAGACAGAAACTGTAACTCAGCTGTTCCTATTTACACATGCAGAAATTTCAAATCTCAAAGAAGGATTTGTAACAAAATCCAGTTACATTATGAATTACTCTTCCAAGAACCAAATGATGCTGACAAGAATCAACAACACTGTTGATGAATCAGTGAACCTGGTAAATTCAATAACATTCCCAAGGTAAGTGACAAAAGCCAGCCTGAGACCAGCACCAGCAGTTTTTTCTTCTTTTAAGAAATGTTGCATCACCAAAAACCCTTGATGGCACTAAAAGGTAATACTGGGTGGAAAAAAACAAAAAAAACTCATAGCCTTACAAGTGGTTCAGAAGATTCATGTTCTCAATATGAAGTTTTACTCAGAAAGACTTAAGCCAACTTAATTTGCTCATATTTTCCTTTTAATGAATGCAAAAGGGTGTTATGTGATAAAAATACATACCCGTTTATATTAGAGCTCTTTCAGTAACTATAAGGCAATAAGTTCTCAGTGGTAAGAAGGTACTGCAGTGATTTTTCTTAATAGTACATAAAATAATGGTGTGTTCAACTGATGATGTCTTACATTCAAAGGAATGCAGTAAAATCAAGTCCCAACATTTAAGAGCAAAGTCTTAATGCAAATAATTTATCTTACTGGATTGAAAAAAAAAAAAAGAGGTGTCCACAAATCTAGGCTACATACAAAATTCTAATAAATGAAAACACCACGATAGATGATAATGTCTACTAAGCTACATCCAAAACAGAAAATGCTCCAAGGTAAAAACAGAAACATCTATTGCCTGCAGGCATAATATAATGTAAGCCTAAAGCTGAATAAACAATTAACCTGTTATACTTAAACATCCCAATTCCCACTAAGATCTGTTGACCAAGTATTTGTCATAATAGTAATATCAGGAATCAATTTCTATTTTCGGTGAAAAGAACCAGAAAAGACCAAGACATGGATGTATAATACAGAAGAAAACACGTGAGAAACAAACAGAGAAGGGAGAAAGTAGAAGGAAATTCAAGTTCACCACGCATCAACAGAAAATGAGACCACAAGACAAGACTCAAGTTAAAGTGGCTCACAAAAAAATATCTTTCTTACATGTAATAAACTCATCTAACTTCATCATTCACTGTAGTCTTAAATGCTTATGCAATCCCTTCAACTACAAAAACCATCTCATTCTTCATTTAAAAATGCAAAGACTACTTGCAGCATTTGTAAGATGCTACACACTATGATTCTAATTAGATATCTAGCTATGTATAAGCAGAGATCTGAACCTACTTGAACAAAAGGTGAGAGTTTTTGATTCTATTACAGTTTTGAGTGAAATAAGGCAGTCTTTTATTAAAGGTGGTAGGAATTTAAAATAAAATTTTACCAATGTTGTCTCACTGTATTAGTGGATCTGAGGAATTAAAATAATCACATATTTTAATTATTTGGTAACTCATGGGATATGAGCTGTGTCTTTTTGGAAAACTGATGGAAAACCTTTATAAACAAATCTCTTTCACCTTTATACACTTACATATTTATTTTTATAAAACATGGCACTTGAATAAAAGAAAATGGTGTGGATTCTGGAATAAGACTACTCAGGTTTGGATCCACCACTAGTTAGTGGTAAGATCTGGATAATTCTATCTTCCCCACCTTTACCATGGAAATAACAGTATTTGTCTTGTAAGGTAATTGGAGAATTAAATAATTCATATAAAGTGCTTAGAACAGTGTATGGCACAAAGCAAGCACACAATAAATGTTTGCTATCAAAATCATTTAACTGACCCTAATAATTAAAATCTTGGCAGGACTTATGGGACATCAATAATGAAAAAGTAAAGGGAAAAAAAGGCTAGTTCTATCACTACTTTCACCTTGTTAGCAAAAGGCATTTGTCAGGAACGTAGGCTGACAGGGTTAATAGAACGCATGCTATTTTATGGGCGTGCATTAATGAAAAGGATGCAGTATATGTTACAAGTTGCACAACTCCAAATGCATTCGTCTCTACACTTACCCCAGACTTCGCCACCTCTTCTTCCTGTAAGCAAGAGCCACAAACATTGAAGCATGTGTTTGAACAGGAAAGCACAGAAAAAAGACAACAGTTCAGAGTCAGAGAAACTATGGAGACAGAACAGAACAGAACAGAAAAATTTTACTAGGAAAAAAATGGTAGCTTAACAATAACATGACTTTCATGGAATGCAGAGGGGTAAAATGAGTTATGATATGTATTGAAGAAGAAAACAACCCACAATATATTTTTTTAAATATGCTTTTAGACCAATTATATTTTTAATACCTAATTCATCTGAAGGCTTATGTTAATAAGAAGCTTGAGCAACACCAGTTACTTATAAATTTTGAATTCAAAGTTTTTAGGAAAGGAAACCTTAAATTAAGGGATAGAACTTTTGAACATTTTATTTCAAAAGGATTTTTTTAGCCACCCATTTAAGTGATAGGATGAAATTACAAGGAACATGAAGATTTATTTAATGTCATTTTAAGTGGAGAAAATGTATTTACAAGAAATTATGACGAGTAAATCTAACTCAAAATGTGAGTAAAGAAATATCATCAAAACATATGAAAACTGCATATCCTTATACTATAACTGGACTGAATAAAGACTGGGTTTATTATTTATTTATTTATATTTGCTCCCCACACCCTCTGGCTGGCCTCAGTGTGCCCCCAAGCTTGCACCCCTAACCACGAGCCCCAGGCCCAAGATTGTTTTTCAGTCAGCAAATTGAATGTTAAAATAAAGGGGTTACTTTGGCCATAGTAGATAACATATACCACCAAAATAGATAATTACTTGCTTACTGAAAAAGATGGTATATTTCAGTAACGGCTGAAAAATGAAACTGATTTAAATCCAACTGAATTCACCTAATGTAATTATAAATGTTTTATTTTCTCCTATCTTGTATTCTATTTAGCCCAGGCCATTCCCAAAAAAACAGCCAAGTTTATTAATTTTCTCCTCTATTCTTCCTCCTTTGCTCACTTCTGAAACCTAGCTGGTACAGTACTTAGTATATTTATTAACTGGCCTGGAAGCATCACCCAGTCATTATGTCGTAAGGAATCAGGGTCCATGTAAGACACAGGGAGTGGTGGTGCCATCAAACAGGGACATGCAACAAAAACAAAAACTCAAAAAACAAAGAAACAAACAAACCCTCCTTCAGGTTTGCTTTGGTCTCTGGTTCTATTTCTGCTCCCACACTGTTCAGCGATGACATCTCGCATGACATGTGGGGATTCCCAGGGGCAGAAGAAGGCCGAGTAAGAAAGAAGAGGCCTGACACGCCCTTCCTCCCTGAGGATCTCTAAACTACAGCAACCATCAGACACTGCTTACAAAAACAAAGACTCCTGAACAGTGATTTAAACAAAAGAAAACAAAACAAGAACAAAAAACCAATCAAACACTAATTCTGTTTGATCTCTAAATTTTTCAGCCACAGGAATTGTGTCTGCCTCTGTCAATACTTCATTTTTAAAGCTCTACACAATAGGCTCATAAGAAAATCAGATAAAAAATTAAAACCCTAATGTCTATTAATGTGAAACTTATAGAAGTAACAGGGAACAGACTGAAAACACACTTATTTTATATAATTTGAGGAAGACTTTGTAAAGCATTCTTAGAAGATTAGGTTAATAGAGAATACAAATTATATTTTCCGTTTTTACTGAAGATGGAATATGATTAAACTTTTATATTCTAAATTCTAAAGAAATTACTTACAAAATAAACGGCAATACTATGACTTAAGAAGAATATATTTGAGAAGAATGAAGTATGACTTAAATATAAATAGGCCTTCAAAAATATTCAAAAAAATAAAGACATACACAGACTAATACTTCCATTGTAGGTTAGAAACCAGCTGAAAGCATTTGTCCCTGTGATGACTTCCCTAAAGATCACAATTTTCTTATATTCAAGTTAGCTGACATTTTAAGTAACGTTAACAATACAGAACTACCCATGTACTCAAAGAGGTAATGAACAACTAGGGTTCAATCTCAGCGAAGGATGTAATCCCAGGCACACCACCTAACTGCTCTGAGCTTCAATTTCTTCATATGTAACACGAAGGGCAATACCACCTACCTTTAAGGATTATTGTGATAAACTACTACTTAAGACTGACTTATGCACTTCATACAGCACATAACAAATGGCAGATGGTCAATAAATGATAAATATTATTATATCACTCTTGACGCCACTCTGTAACACCTTTACACATTTCAAAGCCATACCTCTGTCGGAACATCATAGCTGGGTCCATGTTAGCAGAAGTCATTCGAACAACCTGACGGATTTCCTTGGCAATCATTCTTAGCTTCTCAAAATTTACCAAGCCATCTACTTTGGAGTCATTTCCTATGGAATACAAGAAATTTTAAAATTTTCAAAATTAAAATATCTGTGTAACAGTAACGGAGGTCATGTTATTTTTCTTGGGGAGGAGGCACAAATCAGAACCTTCTTTACCATACTGCCACTTCTGTTTTTAAGAATTGATAAAACTCCTAGAAGGCTGAACCTTGCTCCCAGGGAATTAGCTACTGTGGAGAATTCTATTTCTATGGGAGTAATGATTATGAATACTGGAAAGCAATACACTGCATTACCTTCTAAAATCAATTTTATTATGTTATTGACTATAAAATGTGAGTTCCCTCAAATTTACTCTCCAGATGTTCAGCCCACTCTTAGGCGGGTACCTGTATTTGTTTTTTCGGGTGGCAAGGTACAACATTTGAAAACATAGGTTCCAGTCAGGAGTCACAAGAGTGACCTTTGGGCTTAATTAATCCAGTAAGTTTTCTCTGGTTTATAAGACTTTAAGAAATTGTTAAATGAGTTGTCAACATTCAAGAAGTGGAAGATCTCCCACGAAAACAAGAATTCCTGCTCTTGAAGAGAAAAAGGGAGAGGTCAGATGGGAGATTAAATAATAGTATGTCTGCTTTCCCAAGTGGCAATAATTAATTAAACTTAGGAGGTGGCTGGCTCATAAGGGTAGACACTTTCTAGTTTGCCTTTCACCTTCCCTTTCCAAGAATTTGAATTTACAATCATGACTTTAATCATTTACATAAATTTGCTTGTTCATAAATTCTGTAATTTTTGTTGCTGTTAATTAAGTACTCTGAGGAAAATTCACACAACTTCCAAAAATGGTTTACTTTTCTTTGAAGAAAGTAGGTATGAGACCAGACTTAGTCCATCTGTTGTTGGCTTACCCAGTTTAAACCACAAGGCAATCTGCTTACTGCAGTGTTTCTTTTCACACCTGTAACAGTTAGTGCTACCCAACTGACCTTCCACAGTAGCCTCAGGAGCCTCCATGGAACTCCAGTCCCTATGGATAAATTTGAGAACCAAGTGGTTCTGGAACAGCTGGTCTCCCTTCTCATAGTAAACAGCACATCTACATGTCTCAACATTGAGTTGGAAACAAAACAATTACCAAAAATACTTTCAAGTCATATGAACATGTTTTGAAGGAACATGTCAGAAAAATGTATCTGAAGCCTTTTTATATAAAAAGGAGTGATAATGAAGAGGGGGCAGTAAAACAATGTAATTTTTTTAGCAGGAGATATTTTTTATCAGTTTTGGAAAATTCTATCTTCAGTTTTTTTATCTGTCCTCTTCCAGCCTCTCCTGTAGGGATTTTTATTTCTATTTTATCTAACTTTTCTAATTGTTCTCAGCAAGAGAGTGACTTTGGATTGTTAGCACACCTAGTAACCTGGCAAAAGCAAGTTGAACAACTCTCCTGCTGAGAACAATTAGAAAAGTTAGATAAAAATAGAAAGCATAAAAAAATTAATGTGTTAAAGCACCAAAAAGCTGCCAAGGCAGTGAAGATCTGTAAGAGGAGTGAAGACCCGGGGAAGGTCAGCACTTCCCAGTAACCAACCCCTTGGGACATACGCCGATGTCAGAAATGGGGGATAATGAGCTGAAAAGCTGAGTGGTGCTACTCTGACTTCTACGGTTAGAGGAAAACAGTGCACATTCAGGTAGGCCTCCAATGCTTTGGGTTGGAATCTTGAAGGGCTATATCCTGGGACTAAGGATGAACTGAATGTAGACTGAGATAAAAGTCATGCTATTTGATTATCACAAAATGTGAAAATAGATTAAAGTGATTTTGGATTGTTAGCACACCTAGTAACCTGGCAAAAGCAAGCTTTAATTCTCTTTGGAGGAATGAACATCATTTGAAACCTCAGATATTTCTGTAACTTTTAATACACAACATCCATTTGCTCAAAAATAATCAGAGCCATCAACAGAAAAGATAATGTGACTAAAATATAAGAGGAAAAAAAAGACAAGAGAAAGTGATCCACAAAGGATTCAGATTATGGAGTAATAAAGACAGACTTTAAAATAAATATGCTGAGTGTGTGCAAAAATATAAACAACAAAGACTTTGGCAGAGAACATGAAGACATAAAAAAATGCATATTGTAAAACAACACAGTAATTGGAATTACGGACTGAATGATAAATTTAGCAACAAATTAGACATGACTGAAGAGAAAATTAATAAACTGGACAAAGGGGTTGGAAGAAGATGTCCAGAATGAGGCATGGGGAGACAAAAATATAAAAAATACAGAAGAGTGTAATATGAGACAGCAGGGGCAGTGATCAAGTCTAATGGGGGTGAAATAAAAATCCCTACAGGAGAGGCTGGAAGAGGACATAAAAAAACTGAAGATACGGTTTTCCAAAATTGATAAAAAATATCAAACCACAGGTTTCAAGATGTCCTATAAATAAATCATTAAAACAAAAACTGAAATGCCACACCTAGCCACATCATAGCAAAACTAGGGGAAAACAGAGATAAAAAGAAGATAAAATTATAAAGAAGCTATTGGAAAAGGGGCAGAACATAATCAAAGGAGCAGTAAAATAAGACTGACAACTGACTTCTCAACATTAACAGTGGAAGCCAGGAGACAACAGAATGTTATTTCAGAATGTTCAAAGAAGGTAACTGCCAACTAAAATTTTGCCTTAAGAATATGAAGACATTTTCAGATAAATAAAAACTAAGAGTTTATCACCAGCAGACTTGCACTTAAGGAAATAAACAATACTCTATAGGGAAAAAAATATAACCACAGGGAAGGTTTGAAATACAGGAAGAATAAAATACAGTAATATCATCAAAAAAGTAAAGCTAAATTAACACTGACTTTACATGTAGAAAATATGTGGGATTTAAAGGCACAGCAACTAGTGCATGTAAATCAGGAGGTCAGTAAAATTTAAATTGTCCAAGTACCTTGCATTGCCTGACACACAGTGCTAATGAATAGTAAACTAATTAACCTATCAGTAAGTATAAATATTATAGTGTTCAGTGTTCAAAAGTAGAAAAATAGTAAAACAGTGTATAGTTAGCAAGATGATGGAGTAGGACAAATACCATACACAAAAACCAACTCAGGGAAACTGCAGATAAAACATATGGTGAAGAGCAATACATTAGGCTTTTAAAACTACAAACACTGTTTGTTCATCAAAAGATAACCTCAGAAGAGTCAAAAGGCAAGTTGTACTATACCCATGGTTTATAAAAAATTCTTAAAAACATAACACACATATAAGACAACCTCATAAAAAACAGGCATGAAACCCAAACTAGTAACTGACAAAAGAGACAAATGTAGAAAGGCGTGTTCAAGTCCTAGACTACTATTCATTAGTAGTCTAGGAAATGCAAATTAAACCACACCATTATTGGAATGAGTAGAAATAAATGAATTTACCAGGTGTTGGTTAGGACAAGAAACAATGAGAACTCTAATAACAACGTCAATGTTCCACCTTAGCAGATAATGCCAAACCATTCTCTAAAGCTGATTATACAAGTATCAGGACCCTCAGATTCCACCCTGAATTATTTTGAACAAAAATGCATGTGCAGTAAGATCTATGCAATATTCACAGCAGCACCACTCATACAGGTAAACAGTGGAAACTATTAGTTGCTTATCAACAGTGTATAACTCCACTGTACTGCAGTCATGTCATGGAATACTATAATGAAGTAAGCTACCCTCAAAACCAGGGAAGAATCTCACAAATCTGATGTTGACCAAAATAAGCCACAAACCAAATCAGATCAAACTAAAACATAAGAAAATAAACATACTTTTGATTCCATTTATAAAAAGCTCAAGGACAGCTAAAAACAAACCACAGTATAAGTCAGGACAGTTTTTTTACCTTTGGGGAAGAGAATAAGAGTGGTAAATGGGAAGGGGCATGAGTGGGGCTTAAGGGAGGCAGGCAATGTTTTAGTTTTGACCTGAATGTTGGTTACATGGGAGTTTGCTTTGTCATCATCCACTTGTTTGGGGCACTTTTCTGTATGTGTTGAGTAGTTCCATAAAAAAAGTTGGAAGGAAAAGTACTACTATACAAAACAACAAATATGATCAAACAGTATGGTCTTGGAATAAGTCAAGTTTACGTTTGAGTGCAGAGGGTAAACACTTAAATTTGTTAATGTCAATAATGTGCATTTTGGATTCCCTAAATTTGCAGCATTTAACTAGGTAAGGCTTTAGTGACATATAATCCCTAGGCTGGAAATTAAGCATAATAAATCATAATTCTGTAGAATTGGCAAAAGCTAAACTAGGTAATTTTCAAATAACTTTGAAATACCTTCATGTAGAAATGTCATATCTTTCTTGACAACAGGGAAGAGTGGAATAATTGGAGGCTGCATGCTTTGACTACTAAGAATATTTCTATACTTGGCCATGTTTCTAGATGGATCAAAAAGGTCTTGCAGATCTTGGAGGTGTTTCTCATACTTGCTTGGTAACTTTTCCCAGGTACCTCTGAGTCGTGCTACAGATGCCAGGTTCAAGCCACTGCCAAAGATGAGAATAAAAACATGAAAAAGGGACTTGGGGAAGAGAGAGAACTAGTCATTTAAGTGTAAACATTAAGTTTCTCTAATAAAGCCAAAACAAGCAGGTACATATTTCAATGTGTTGAAATTAAGAGGAGAGCCAGGAAATAAATAAATAAAAAGCAAGTAGGTAAAAAAGTAAGCAAGCAAATAAATAAATAAATAAACGGGACTCCTTGATCTTAAAATAAGGAAAACTTCTTTCAGAGGAGCTGTATTACTTGCCTACAGTTCTTGTTTTATAGTTGACATATAAGTGACAAATATATTAATTCTGTAAAATAGACATTTAACTTGAAAAAACCTTAATGTATCACAATGTTTTTGCTTGCTTTACTTAGGAGTAATTATGGAAATATTATCTATTTGAAAGTAGTTTAAATAATGCTAACACAACTGTCATATAATAATTGATGCAAGTTCTGGGGCTGAGGCAGCTTCTTTCTCTGAGATGTTGCTGCTCATATCCCAGATTCCAATACTTCCATGTCTGTAGATTCTAATCCTGTCCCCGAGGCCTCCATATATTCAGTGTCTTTTTCCTACTGGATTTAAGCTCACATAAACCTAAGCTGAAAATAATTCATGCCCACTAGGCTGCACTCCTATCTATCCCTTTACTGCTAACTACCATTCCATAGGTAGGCTGCCAAATGAACAGTGCACATATAATGGCTCCATTTCATGCTACTTAATCCCTCATTTTTTTCTTTTAGTTGAAGAATTAAATTCTGATTTTTTTTCTAATTGAAGTTTAGTTGACAGACAATATTACGTTAGTTTCAGGTGTACAACATAGTCATCTGACATCTATACACATTATAAAATGCTCACTACAGTAAATGTAGTTACCATCTGTCACCATACAAAGACATTACAATATCATCAACTATGTTCCCTATGCTGTGTTTTACATGCCCATGATTGATTTTATCACTGGATGTTTGTACCTCTTTAACCTCTTCACCTATTCTGCCTGTGATCCCTCTGGCAACCAACAGTTTGTTCTCTGTATTTCTACGTCTGCTTCTGTTTTGTTTTGTTTTGTTTTTTAGATTCCACATGCAAGTGAAATCATATGGTATTTGTCTTTCTATGTCGTACTTATTTCACTTTGGATAATATCCTCTAGGTTCATCCACGCTGTTGCAAATGGCAAGATTTCTTTCCTTTTTATGGAGCAACATACCATTGTGTGTATGTGCCACATCTCCATTATCCACTTATCTACTGATGGGCACTTAGGTTGCTTCCATATCCTGGTTAATGTAAACAACTGCTGCAATGAACATAGAGGGGGTATGTATCTTTTTGAATTAGTGTTTGTTTTCCTTGGGTAAACACCTAGAAGTGGGACTGCTGGATCACATGGTATTTGTTTGTAATTTTTTTGAGGAACATCTTATTTTTCCATATCAGCCACCTGACTTTTACCCACACTTTTATTTAAAAAGTTCTCTTGACTTTTGATTTTAAGGTGAGGAGTTAAGATATCTTTATTCCCTATGCTTCTCAGAAATTAAGCCAAACATCTATAATGACAAATAACACAAATGTACATTTCATCTCCACTGAAACTAAGAGATACCTGTAACTCCTAAACAGATGAAAAAGGCTGCCAAAAGGTAGTCAAGGTCAAACAGGGGTATGAGAAATGCTGAAAAAGGATGCCCAGAGATGAAGATCTCAATGAGAGCTGGTAAAGCACAGTCCTCCAAAACAGGTAACTCACCCTGAATGCAAAACCAGCCATCCCCAACTTGGAACATGACAGTGTTCACAGGGTGAGAGAATTAGGCAGGGGCTAGACTCTTTACCAGAGAGTACTAGAGGAAGTAAGACTAAAACAATACACACAGTGATATAACACTGTGGTGGGAAGCAAGTTAACAGTGACACAGGACAGAAAGGAGAAACTCTTCTGAAGTACCCTTTAAGCTGAAAATCTCCACTTGCTGGAAGTAAGTAAAGGTAAAAATACTTCACAGACAAGCCCAATTCCTGTTAGCCTGTAATATGGCCCTGGCTCCTCTTCAACATGAACCTCCTGCAAATACTTGGTACAGGAAAACTCATGTCACCCAAAAAGAAAGAATGAACAATGGATTATAACAAGCTGCTACAGGGAAAAACAAAGAATATAAAACAAAAATGATGCCAACAATCAAATAAAAACTAGGACTAGCCAACGACCTAGCCATAACTTAAATGATTATAAAGCATATAAAGAAGTTCATGTAGTGATGTAAGTCAAGAGCTTGGGGAAAATATGGTAACAAAAATTGGTTAAAAAAACAAAAAACAAAAAACTAGTAAAGCTCACAAAAGAAATGAAAGAAAAAATAAAACCAACACAGAAATGAAGGCCACATTGGAAACCTATATAAAGAAAAAAAGATACTGTTAAAATCTTGTGCAAGTGACATGGAGGAAAGGATTAACAGAAGCAACCAATGGAAATGGACAGAAGTGAAAAGGATTAGAGAGAAAACAGTGGATATGGAAGACAAAGAAAACAGTGGATATGGAAGATAAAGGAGATCTAAAATCTGCATAATGGGTATCCCTGAAGAAGGAAACAAAACTGGAACTGAAAAAATATTCAAAGGTACAATTTGAGAAAAATTTCCAGAAACAAAAAAGGAATTGCATCTACAGACTGAACAGACACCACTGTTCAAGAGAAACGAATACAGAACTAAAAGAAACATTCACATAAAGATAAAATTCTTCAGAGGCAGGGAAAGAACCTGGAGAATACTCTCAAAAACTTGAGTGCTGCATAAAATGCTAGCTGTGGAGCCACAGTCTATGAGACTCCCAAGAAATAACATGAGGTAAGAATTTTAAAGCCAAATAAATTGTCATTCAAGTTAAAAAAAAACTCAGTTTTACATCTAGTATCACAAAACCATACACAAATATTTTTACAAACTTACCTTATTATTGCAAACATGGAATTGAAGTTTTTACATTCTCGACAATGAAGTGCAATTTTAATAAAATGCTTAATAATCTTCATTCGTTTCAGCTGATTTGATTCGGTTAAAATCTCCGATGCAACCCAGAATGTCTCTTGATTAATAATGTCCTCAAATTCTTTCAAGTGAGTATTCCCGGTTTTGGAATCTAATTTAAAAAGGTCATCAATATATTCAGTAGGCTCAATATTACGAAACAAATCAAAGTCTCTCATTGACAGCTGAGTGGCCACCTCAATGGTACTGAGCTGCAGCATGGAGAGTTGACTTTCCTTAACTAGTTCTTGAGCATCTTCATCTGAACATAAGGTTTCTGTTTCCATGTTATTTTTTAAATAATACCTAAAAGGAAAATAATTGTTTTTATAAGTGATTTCATTTATAAGAGCATTTTCCCTCTTTATTATTTCAAAATATCATTATACTGTCAATAACTTTTTGTCAAAAATTTTAGAGGCATATTCACATACAGATGAAATGGAAAACTAACATTTTAAATGAGAAAAATTTTTTTAAATTGTCCTGTGATCCCACCATTTGACATCAATTATTTTAAAGAGTAAAAATATTATGCTGTGAACTTAATCATTTTATGAAACTACTCACAGAATGTGTGAATAATTGTGTGTACATTCTTGAAAAGAAAAGCTTGACAAGCGCTGTACTTGTCTATCTGACACATAGTAGGTACTATATGAATATCTGTTCATGGACAGCATGAACAGACACCTGAAACAAGCATGTTTACATCTCTATTCAGAAGCTGTTGTTCAATTCAATTCCTTCTTTATTTCTAAATTTCCAAGAGAAGCAAAGAATAAAACCCACAAAGGAGAGGAAACTCTTCCACTAATGATTTCTCCTTTGTTAAATACAAAAACTCATTCCAGCAAATGGCACTGATCAGCAACCACAGAGAAGATCCTTATTTTCCTTTCCTCTTTTTGGATCAATAATTCTATGGCACTTAAAAGGTAAGAGACAGGTTTCACGGTTGGGAAGTATCTTGCACATGGCTGTTCTAGGGAAAAGGTGTAACACATGGCATCACATGTAGCTTTTACTTCTTTTCTAACATACAACATGACCTAAGCCGAAGTTTGTGTCCATCTATTTTTTACTGTCAAGGAGCTAAATCTTTTCTTCTCTTGCCTTTATACTGTTCACGTGCCTCAGAGAATACCACAAATAATAGTGCTGAGATTCATTAATCTATAGATAAAAAAATGATATCTAATATTTATAAAGTGTGTTATGTTTATTAATTCACTTAATTCTTATAACATTCCTCTGAGGCAGAGTCTATTATAATCATCCCCATTTATTGCTGGGAAATTTAGGCACAGAGAAACTAAGTAACTTGCCCAACATCAGTTATTTGGGATTTGAATCTGGGCCTCTGGCTCTGGGGTCTATGCTTCCAACCGTCATCTATGGACGGCAAGGCCAAGTTAATACAATCTCTTAACAGCAGCCCTGACAAGCAGTCCTCTTAAGGTTCCCAAGGACCTCATTCTACATGTGAACATAGACTCACTAAAAAGATTACATTATTCTCAGAACATCACTGGAGTAAATATAAAGAACTACTGAAACAATCTTCAAGGTCATCAAATAATTTTCAGAGCACATTTTTAATAATTTTTTGCTTATTCATAAAAGGAAAACTACTTAGAAAAGGAATTCCAAAAATTATGGTTTCTTCTGTTTAAAGTACATCTTGGTCATAATAAAAACAAATTTATGAATCCATAGATACACACTCAGATACATGTACAGGCACATGACATTTAGTTTCCTCCTCTGTAAAACAGGACTGGAGGCCAGCAGTGGACCTGACATCAGCAGGAGGGCTACCACACCCGAGTGAGCTGTCCCACCTGTTGTCCTCCCACTTCCGAGGAGCTCACCTGACAAGTGCTAACACTCAAGACTCCATTTACAGAGACACGAAAAGCTCAAAAAAGAGAAAACCTACTTTAATTTTAGAGAGAACTCAGTGGCCCTAAAACATGATGTTTCTATTTAAAATATCTGTTTTAACTTGGAACCTTCAAAAACACATCTAGAAATAAGTCCATTCACTAAAAGCACATTCACCTTCCATTAAGCTGGATTCTGTCAGCCAATTTGGAAAACTGATCCGGAAGTCTTCTCTGTTTTATGACACCCTCAGGAGTAACAGAAACTTCACAGAGAGAATAGGTGTCCGATGCACCAGTCAAACCAAACTCGTGAACAGCATGACAAACAACTTCTTTAGCTGTAGTGTCTTTACTGATGATAATATAGCAACTTTGTTGATCTGCTTTGAAAACTCTTATAACTTGATCAGGTATATCTATATAAATACAAAAATGTGCCTTGTTATTTTCAAGAAAATTACTTTTAAATTCTTCAAAAAAGTAGTTTGGAACACAAGGATCCCTCTACACAGTGAGATATATGCTTCTATTTTAGAATGCTAAGAGGAATTACTGTTGAATTTATTGACAAATAAATATATCTATTTTTTCAAGTGACCAAATATTAACACGTGTTCACAGGAAAACACACAGAACAGATGAAAATTAGTCATACTGTATATACACTTTAAAGCCACAATTTTTTTCATGTATTATAAACATTTTGATGCCATTAAATGTTCTACAAAACAATTTTTAATGGAAGGACAGAACTCCATAATGTGTATTTTATATTTTTAAATTGCCCAAACCCTTAATGACAGATATTTATGTTATGTATCATTTTCTATTATAAATAACATCATAAGTCCACCTGCCTTCCATTGCCAACTAAATAAATCTTTGCAGACAATCTGATTATTTCCTCTAGAAAATCCAAAGAAAAAGAAATGCTGAGTTAGAGGGCATGTGTATTTTTAAGGTTTTGAGATATGCTGCCAAACTGTTTTCCAGGATTATAATACAAGAGTGTAAGGAGAGCAATTAGTCACACTCTTTTAACAAAAGTGTTCATTAAATTTTTTTTCCACTTTCAAAGACCCATGTTTTTCTTTCTTCTAAATATATGTCATTATTGTAATTTCATTTCTTTGGTTACTGGTGATATTCACTGCTTTAATGAGCCATTAGTATTTCTTCCTTTTTAAAAATATTTTTTGGTATTTTTTTAATGTATTTTCCCTACTTAATTGCACTAGAGACCACCACTTAGTCTACTACATAGTGTAGATTGTAAATGTTTTTCCTAGTTTTTATATTCTATTTATCTTAATATTTAAAATTTTTAATATTCATTTGGTTAAATCTCAGTCGTCACCTTTGTGATTTTTGCTGTTAGTAGATAAATTCCAACTCAAGATGTTTACATGATATGCACATGTAAATAATACTATACTCCCCTCTTATTTTACCTTATTTCATTTCATTATACAGTAGTGATTAAAACTTCCTGAACAATATTCAGTGGGCTAGTTTTTAATACAATTAGATGTAAGTTAGAAGTGATCTGACATCATGGAAAAAATGCTAGAGTTTTCCCTATGATAACAAATCATTGTTATGAAATTTTCTTTTTTTTTTAAAACTAGGAAAAATGTATTACTGTCAATTTTTTGTGTGACCACTATAGCTGCAGTGGGTTAGAGGGATTTTGGTGTGTCAAGTAATGGTATAAAGTTTGTTTAGCATTACCTTCTTAGCATTATATACACTGCTAACTTTTAGAGAAAAAGGAAAATTACAAACTTGTCTCAAAATCATCTGATATTTATACAATTCTACCTAAAGGAAAGAAGAGAGTGATGAAATAGTTGTGGCAGGAAATAACTTCATGGAATAAAGTACTCTCCTGAGGCTGAGGACACAGAAAGACAGACTGACTCTCAGGACTGGAAGATTGACTTAAATATGTCTGAATATAATTTCAGGGAGGAGTCTAGCCAACAGATGTTGAATGTTCTGGGTACACTGTCAATTTGGAAGGAGTGTGTTTTATCTATTCAGGTCCCTTTTGTAATATGTATGCACCAAACTGCCTTCCTTGATGTATACAAATATATGAGTCACCAAATGCCTCTGGTTCATATTTCTCTGCAGAGTCAATCCTTAGGATGCTGCTGACACCATTAGGTTTTTAAACCTACAAGGCTTAAAGTCAGACAATTTTATAATCCACCAAAATCAGAGTGATCCTCTACCCTGGACTAGGAAATGATTGCAAGCAGATAGAAATTCCAGTTTGCCAAGAGAAAGATACTGAACAAAAGGGTTTCCATTATCCCTTTTAACTCTATAAAAAGGATCAAATGACATACTATTACTACCTGTATTGTCCCTACCCTCTTTACAAAAACAGGTCTCGTTGTCCAGGGCTCTAGAATTGGATCAGGTTACTAGATTTTGGGGGGCTGAACCTCAGCTAGCAGAACTGGCTAACACTAAGGGAATGGGGAAATGTTCTATTCCCTTTATTAATGTCTTGAGAGAAGTTTATTCACAAAGACAGGCTGGGAATTTGCATACATTTCATTTTTTCACCTCTTGCTGTCAACATACTGTAACATTTTCTGGGAAAGAACACAGAGGTGTGTATCTTATCGGTGTAAAAAAAGTCATGCTGTGTTACAGCCATTTGTTTCCCATGTGAAGGACAAACTGTTACATAGTTGCATAAGAAGGACTCAGGCATCATAAATGGGTAGTCTAACAGATCCACAAATGGGATTCTTCAAGGGCACCCTGTAACTCAAACCCTGGTGAATTTGCCGAGGCAATAAATGTCACCTTGGAAAACCATTTGAGAGACATGAGAGGAAAAATATTCTCTGCACTGATATTGGTATCAGGGTAAACCTTCTCTATTTTAGAAATATTAATATAAAATACATTTGCATTTGTAAATGTACTTGTTACTGGGAGAACATCGTACAGCAAAACAGCATCTGACACAAGGGATACAAATGTTATTTATGAATGGTGAACAGAAGGTTAGAGGTTGAATCAAGGAAATATGACCTAATTATTTCAAATTTTAGACATGAACATAGAATACACATAAATATATAATCTCATGAAGGCAAAACATTTAAAAAGGATCTTGGAGGAGAACAGCACTTACTAGTCTTATTATTCATATTTCATTAATAAAATAAAATTCTTATATAACAGGTAAATGAATTCAAGAACAGGAATCTCAGATATCTGCACCTTCAACCCAAAGGTGAAATTTTTAGAATGCTAACTACAATTTTGCATGCGTAAAATGAAAAAATGAGACTCCTGAACAATGCATGTACTAACTCTGAGATTACACTAAAAATGGGAGATTTTTCTAAGTACTTAAGATGATAAAAAACAAAAAGTCTTCTTTCTGGTTTTGTTTATCACAGAACAAATATTTATGGAGTGCCTGTTATGTGTCACAGTATTCCAAATGATGAAAATACTGTAGTAAAAGAGACAGACAAATGTTCCCAGGGTTTTGCTTTTACCAAGAGGGTAAGTTAAGTGGTAGGTTCAAAGAAAGACAATAATCAAGTATGTAAGACAATTATTTGAAATTTTGCAGGCCAGAAGGCAAAGCAGATGATATAGTGTAGGTAATTATATGACAGTAAACAAATTCCCACATCATTTTGACAAAATTTGAAACTATAGTAATAATGCAAACATAAAACATGTAAAGATAGGTAAACACAAGAGTGTAGGCAATATTACAAATGTCCATTAAAGGGGGACTGGTTAAATGGAATGCTGTCAGCTGTTTAAAAAATTTTGGTGGAATAATATAATATATCCTTATAGAAAAGAGTATTCAAGGTATATTGCTAAGTGAAATGGGCTAAGTGGAGGAACAGTACAGCATACCATTTAGGGTGAAGGGATTGGTACACACCTTTTATGTGCACTGAAATTTCTGGAAGGATATACGAGTAAATGAACAATTGTTGATTCTGGGGAGTACAGACCTTCGCATTCTATCCTTTCTCTGCAGTTTGATTTTTTAAAATATGTACCTATCAAATTAAAAAATTAGTCAAGACAAGTCAGACTTGCAATGCAGAAAGTTTTGAAGTTTCCAAAAAATAAAGCAAAGCATTCAGGTAAAAGATCTGTGCTACTAAATAAAAAAGAGTAAGCACAAAGTTCCAAGTGAGCACTAAGAAAAAAAAAAATTCAGTTCCAAAATCCTTTCAGCCATGCTCTGAATTCTTTTCAACTTCTCCTCTTATTTTAGGTCAAAAATTCCAGGAAAATATTCACAAGTTATAGAATAATATGTATACTCTGATTCCGTGATTATAAAAACAGATTGTGTATATTAAAAGAAAATGAATAAAAGAACACTCACCAGTTTACACTGGCAACTTTTGTTAAGTGGGCAGAAAAGTTTTGCTTCCTACTTCACTCAATTCTGTATCACTTGACTTTTAAAAAATAATAAAATACTATACACAAACATAAATAATAGAATACCATAGAATCTTCAAGATACTTACAGTAAAAACCAACAGCTGTAGGCAGCAAAAACAAAGCAAAACCATAAAAAAGTGAGCAATCAAAAGCAAACTATTAAACAGTTCTGTGGCTTTGTCCCTGCTCTCTAATGGCAATTTTAAACATGCAGCATAAACACAGATGAGGATCAATACTGGTAAGAGTTAATCAAACTTGGTTGATATCACACATGTACTGCAATATACATATGTGACTACACAGCTTTTCTAAAAATCAGGGCTCTCATATATAATTTAAGGAGCTGGATTGGGAATTAACTGGTAATTAATATTTTATCTAACATAATTATAAAGAGCACCACAAAAGGTCTCCTATAAAGTTGCACATTTTGGGGTTTCAAATATAATTTAAAAGTTAAATACCTATCTTATATTAGTGTATTTATATTGCTTGTGTGGACACAAGCTGCAAAGTGAGCTTTGCAGACTGACCTCTGAATAGATCTTAAAAGAGCATCTTCAGCTCTTTCAATGTGAGAATTATGCAATCAGTCTGGAATCAAATCGAGTAGCACCTCCTCTTCAGAGGTCTGAATTTCAGCCCATGGTGCTTATAGTTTCTAAACCTTAATAATTCCAACCTCTTCCCTTTGATCCCAGAGCTAAATACTCAACTTACTTTTTCTCTCTCCTTTCCCTACAACCCATCCCATAACTCCCACTTTTATATATGCCAATGGCAAAAATACAGCCATAAAAATGATTCAATCTCTAAATCATATATTCCCCCAAATACTTATCTTATGAAAGTGTACATACGTAGTTTGTGCTTTGATCATGTGAAATGTGATTTGTGAACATAGTGTAAGAAGTGCTGCTATGGGGGACACATACACACAGACATGGAAATAAATTCCCAAGCAAATACATGGCAAGCAATGTAAGACAAGGTAAACGTGCCAGAGACTCCTGGAAATGGAGGGACTGACTGGCTTCCCAGATGAGGTAACATTTGAATTCACCAGCAGTGGGGATTAAGAAAAAGTTCACAAGATCATATGGAGAGAACCACAGGCAAACAGCATGGGCAAAGACAGAGTTCTGGAGGTACTGCCATACTCAGGAAAGATGGATGATGTGACAGTGGGGAGAATGGCAGAAGAGGAGGCTAGTAAAGGGGTTTAAAATCATGCTGCAAAAACTGGACACCCCCAGTTATTAAGTCATTGTCTTTAGGCTTCAAACCCACTCTGTCTTGTCATAATGGGGGTAAGGCTATGATAACCTCATTTCTTCTTTGCCAATGGCGCCCTTTTGGGTTCTGCCAAAAAGGGGCACCAGAGGCAAACTGTAAGGTCAGAGGAAGAAGGGACCTGCTGCTTTGTTGTTTCTCATGGGCTTTTTGTCCATGTATCACACCAGCAAACACTTCTTCAGCTGGTAGTGGCATTTCTTTCATGCACTAGAAGATGAATCCAGTCTGCAGTTCTCCCATCTCTGTGACACCTTAATGCTTGCTTCTTTACCCTTTTAGGCAGATGGTTAACTTTATACCTTGGCAACAATTCCTTGTATTCTGATCAAGTATCTGGAGTGGTTTCTATTTCATGCCTAACCCTTGACCAATATAGAAGTCACTAAAAATTTCTAACCAAAGTAACAACTCATTAAAATCTTGGTTCTAGAAAGAACACTAGCAGTTATGTACAGCAGGATGTGTCAAAGGCAGATTATTGGGTTTAGTAATCTTGTTAGCAGTTAAGAAGCAACTGAAACAAAAAGGAAGAGATGCTGTGCAGGTTGACTTTTACTATACTATGTTCTTACACTGTGTCCTAGAGTTTTTATACTTAAGCTGCTATGATAAAATATAAGCTTCACTACAGCATTGATACTTCCTCCTTTCTAATACTGAGATTTATGTAATTAAGTTTTCTCCCCTTTTACACTAGCTGCTAGTAACTCAAACATTAAACTTAAACTGAATCACAATCTTTGAAGAGCTATTTTTTTCCTTCCTCTCTTGGACTGACTCATATATTTCAGTTTCTAATTCTACATGTCTTTTATTGAAAGCCATCTCAAATCCTTTCAAGTGATGGATATAAATTCTTCAAAGTTTTTCTTCCTTATAATGAAATTTTAGATTATACAGTAAATGATAATTTCTGTCTCTGGGCATGAATAGAAGAAAAAAAATTAACTATGTCCTACACCGAACATCTGAACCACAATGAAAAACATACTAAGTACTTTAACAATACATGACAAAAAACAACTTGTTTCAGGTATTGGGGGAAAAAAAATCAGCGTTTCTAGAAAATTAACACATTTCTGGGCATCACTGAGCAAGTAAGGCCACTTAGATCAGAAGAATTTGCCTATTCTCTTTCACGGCCTGGATAACACACTTCTTGGCTGAGAAGTTATCATCTCTGCTTTCTTTTCAGTCCACTGCTCTGATGAAGGTTACTAGAAGATAACTAAATGTCATCTCTTTTCTATATACTTCTATTTCATACTGGAAGAAGTACGACTCCAGCTTAAATAAGCTTAAACTCTCTTAGCATTCTGTACAAAGTCATAACCTTGAGGGGCAAGAGGAGGGCTATGAGCAAATCACAAGGCTCGACCATCCACTTCTCCATTGGGCACCAATATGGCTACATAAAATCACAAACAAGTATTACCTGAAGGATTAGAAAAATCCAACATGCTGGTGGTGGGCTGCAGGAGATCAGGGCTACTGGAAGAGAGAGTTCCAGGAATGGGCATGATAGCCAGGCTGTGCCTACAGTGTCTTGTCCCCACAATGCTGTCATCCTGGGATTGGCTCAGACCTCCATCACTTCAAAAGAATATCATTTATCACTTTCAAGTATTTGAGGGTTCTTACTAGTAAACATTTCTGTTCTCTGTGCACTTAGGTATAATAGAACCAATTCAAAGCGGTGATTTTAAAAATTAGATTAAAATGTTACAGCAATTTAAAAACAGGACAACTGTAATGCTGAAAATCACAGTCAATAAAATGTTTTTAACAATTACATTCAAATAAAACAACTTACACATTAAAGCAATTCTGGTATTATCATAGAGAAATTCTGCTATTTGAAGAAACACTGCACATAGTTTCTGCTGCTCTTGATAAGAGAATTTGAACCTGAGTGTTTAGGGAGCACCTGAGGTCTGCCAGTTTCTGTGGCCAATGCACAGCCTCACCACAGCAAGGTTGTCTCTCTCAACAAGAAAGCTTGGTGACTTTCTAGGCAAAGGATGGAATTGGGTTTGAAGTCAAACCCAAAATATGGGAGGTAGTAGAAACCAAAGGGGCCAGGTTCAAGTGACAAACTAAAAGATCTTTAAACATCTAAACAACCTGAGAACAGCCCAAACCAGCAAGAATAGGGAAAGACAACAGGAAGATGACATGGAGAAGAGCAACAAACGACCAGGGGAGTATGTGACAGACAGGAGGAAAAAAGAGGATGAGAAACAAAAACAGAAGATGGAGACTTTTAGTCTCTAATGTTTATTGTAAGGGCACATTATATCTTATTTCTTAAGTCTAATTACTTGACTGTTACCTAGCTAAAGACAGCAAAACCAGACCAGGAAAACGATCCTAAAGTTAAGTCCTTTAAAGGTTTCAATAATAAATATCAATTAAATGGCCATATTTAAGCAAATAAAATGCTCTTTAAAATATTTTAGAGGCACCATATACAACTAAACCAATCTAAGAGAAAAAACAAAAACAAAGAAACATAACTCTGTCACTTAAGTTTTAGATACCTACAAAAGTCCTGTAAAACAGGATAAGTGAAACAGCCTTACACAAACACAGGATAGCAATGAAAAAAAGATTCCATCAACAACCAAAATACCACTTATGTCTAAGGGTTGTGCTTAAAAAGAGTTGGGTGTAAAAACAAATGCTCTAGGTTAACATTACTTCCAACCATTACGTTACTCAGTGAATCATTCTACCCAATATTTGCTACACATACAGAGATATCACTGTATACTTACCATCATGGAATTGATAAGGTCTATCTTAAAAATGAGTGATATGGCATATATCTAGAATATGTTAGGGGTAAAAGATAGGATTAGGGAGATTAGGAAGCTATGCAAGATGGAGTATAGACGACAGTAAAAAAAGGAAGCTATGAAAGACAGAGTATAGAGGACAGTTACATAAACAGCTAAAGGATTCTTAACGGCCAGGCAAGGCAGAGAGAGCCAGGACGACAGAAGGCAGTCAGGGAAAGGCATGAAGATGTGCAAGAGGGCACAGATGAGTGTTCTGAGAGCAAATTTTAAAAATCATACAGACCTGGGTTATTAGCTGTGTGACCTCAGGAAAATTTCTATTCTGGAGCTTGGTTTCCTCATCTAAAAATGTGAATAATACTCTCTCTCTCCCAGGACTACAGTAAGGATTAAATTAGGTAATGAAGGTGAACATTTTGGCACAGACGAAAATAGGATTCCTGTTTTTAAGAAGATAGTTTAGTATTTTACCAAAATTAAGAAAGACTGGTACAAAGGTAGGAAGGATTTTATGCAATTGATATTGAAAAACCGAGAAGGGCAGGGTGGGTCTAACAGGCACGACTGCAGAAACAGGGCATGTTTTCCTGGGGCGAGAAGGTGGTCTAACCCAACAGACACAAGGAGGGCCAAGGAAATAACTTACTATCAAATAATTTGAGCTGATGCTAAACTGGCTCCTGGTAATTAAGTGTGTATTCCTTAAAATCAGAACTCAATGTTTTAAGGTAGATAAGAGAAAAAAAGTAGGGGAACTTCTGCATCTACTTAGAGTAAGTAAATTTGGCAACAGTTATGTAGAATAATAGCTTGCTTTCAAAATACAACAATTCTTTAGTTGATTTTTTAAAACAAACCTGCCAATTTTTGGGCACAGAGGGTCAGGTAACTGAATCCAAGGAAGCAAACTGTTAGAGATCAGCTAGTCCTGTCAATAATTAAAGCAGGAGCAACCTTAACAGTGTTAAAAATGCTACAACTTTCTATTAAAGGGAATTGGCTGCATCAGGTATAGTAAGTTAGAATTTACCATAGAGACAAACAGAAGTGCAAGAAATACTAAAAATCTTTCTCTCTTTTAGTGATGTTATTTAACCTTACTTCTGCCACTTAATGAGCAATAAGATATTACATTGTACAGTTATAATAATGAAAAGCTGATTATAATAAATTCATGTTAATTAAGGTATGAGCATGTATAAATGAAAAATATATTAATGCTATGTACAACTCATGCTATGATATGAAATAGTATCTAATTGGCCAAAAATATCCATGCTTGTTTGGAAGCTGAATTGATAGAGCCCAATTGCAAAAAATTAGGTCATTTCTTACCAAAACAGCCTCCTGAGAGGGTGATGCAGTAACAGAAACAAGAGTTTTGAAAAACTCCTCAGTAATTCCCCAACACTAAATTTGCTGAGAATAAAAGTATATTTTAGTTTCATACTGTGAAATTAAAAAAGCTGTGTAAATATCAATACGTAAATAAAAAGTAATCCCAATATTAAAAGCAAACAAAGAAAGTATGCTAACAGGAATGGGGGGAGAATAATTTCTAATAAGCACACAAGGCAGTCTACCTCTGGGGCTGTTACAATGAGTAATATGAAAATGTTACTTAGGCAATCTGTGATTTAAAAAAAAAAAGCTGAGTGATTAAAAAAAATAGGAGATCAGATTCCTGAATAGTGAGATATTCTCATGTTAATAAAAATCCATTGCTATGTCTTAATTTACAGATGTTACTCAAAATTTGTAGGTTTTTATTCACTTCTAATTTTCAGGAAAATCCTTTCATTTTAAAATTATGCATAGTTCAGGAATTATCTATTATTATCTCAACTATTTGTTCCTTCCTTACATTCATTTTCTTCATTCCTTCCACAGATGCAGACACGTGCAGTGTTCTGTGGCAACTCATCCCCTGCTCTTAGGGAAGTGGGTGGCGTGCAAGGCGGAGACCAAGCACACCTCCCACAGAGCCCTGGCACAGGAGGTTCAGGAGCTCAGAGACTGCAGAACTAAATTCATTACAATTTTTTCCAATTAAAATGTAACTAAAGGGGAAAACTTAAAAAGTATAGAAATCAAGCAAGCAAGGAAGGAAAAGTTACCTATGGAGAACTATAATCAACATTTTCCTTCCAGTCATTTTTGCAGAATATGGCACAGCCTATTTTAACCAAACCCTTGTAGTTGGACATTAGTGTGTTTCCAAATTAGTTTTATCCTAGATAATATGCTACTAAGAATATATGTACTTAAATCTTCATCTGATTATCAGAAATGGAGTTTCTGAATCAAAGATAGAGACATTTTAAAGCTTTTAATAAAAACTGCTCAAATGCTTTATAGAAAGGATGTATCATTTTTTACATTCCCACAGAAACACGAGCTTATTATCTTAAGTTATCAAGTCTGGCCCTGCCTATTCTCTTTGTCAATCACTGTTATGCCTTTATCACTAATCACTGATGTAGAATATCTGTTTCATTTTCTTTGGCTATTTTCCTACTGACGTTTTAGTGGTGGTGGCAGTGGTGGCGTGCGTGCGTGTGGCAAAAGGGGTTGTGTGAATTCATTTGTAATGATTTAAATATGACATACATTCTCAAAAATACAAAGCAGCCAGTCTGAAAGGTAAAATAACAAATCAGTTCTCTCTGCAAAATTGGCTTCAGCAGAAAACCTTTACGATTTTTACTAAAATTAACTATTCTTTTGGTATTCATATGGCTGAAATTATTAGTATTTTGCTTCAATGGAACATGCTTTGAAGAGACAGCTAGCTTAATATTAACTCCTGATGGGCAGCATTTTATTCATATTTGCATTCACAGCCAACAGTCTCCTACTGGCACAAAGCAAGAGACTCAATTAATACTTGTAGAATAAAGAATGAAAAAAAAAAATCTCCTCTGAGTTTAAGTAAAACTACTACCAGATCACTCATTTTTTTGGTACCAATATAAAGAAATAACACTTGAAAACACTCAAATAACTGCTTGTGGGCACCTTAATTTCCATGCCTCCTGTCGTAACCAAAGATAGAAGCCAAGTGGAGTAACCAATTTCCAGTCCCTGAAGGAGATACTGTGGAGATGAGATCCTGATCTAGCTGCCTGAAACTTGAATATACCTGTTTGGAATATGACATGAACAGACTCAAGTCAGCTACAATCACTGTGTTCTCTGATTTGGGATGACACAGGTCACAACCGTGCCACTGTTCAAAATGAGAATCAGTTAAAGGCATATATATTCTAGACCTTACCAGCCAGGGTTTCTGGAAATGGACCTCCGGGGCTCACCTTCTGAGAAATGCCCCTTGTGAACTCTTCTCTGCTTTCTGGTCCTCCTCCTTTTTTCTCTTGCTCAGTGCCTTCACTAATACTTCTGGTCATTCAAACCCATCCCAATGTCCTGTGTGGGCCTCCTTGCTCAGTTCTCATTGTGAGAAGTGTTTGCTGTGCAGCTGTCATACTACAGTATGCTCAATCTTAAAATAATTTTGCCATTTTAAAGTTATGATTTTCATAAACCACTCACCTCAAGGAGAGCAGTCACTCAGTAAGGAGATGAGTAATGTACTTTCTAGAAATGAGTGACATTAAGAACAGAGCTCAGAATGTTTCAATCCTCTGAGCCCCAAATTAAATGAAGAGTAAATGCGTTTCTGACTAGAAATAACTCAAGAGCGTTTTCTGCTCAGGAAACCTTAGAGATCTTTAACTATGTAAAAGATGATTGCTGAGAGTTACCTAGTTCCACAATGTCTCCTAATTAGTTTCCCTGCTATTCCTGCTACACTGTGCTGCACTTCACAAGCCAGCTGACAGAGGGATGTTAAAGGAAAAAATCTGATCACAGCATATGCCTTCTATGGCTCCCTACTTTACAACCGGATAAAGTCCATATATTAGCTCAATATTTAGAGTCCTTCATAACCTAGCACTTACCTACCTCTCCTGCTTCATCTCTAGATGTGCACACACAAAGTTTACTCAAACCTACCAAACTTGTTCCTGATTTGTAGATACCAAAACATGTATCGCCCTGTAATATACCATTTGCCTGCTTTCCCTTTTATATGATCAACTTTTGGACAAGAGCCCTGCTCTGTTTATGTTTCTGTATTTCTACTTTGAAATATAATGTCTAGAGTGTAACAAATGCTTGAATAAAGGGCTCCTGATATGAATTCCTTAGAGGTAGGGATTACCTATTTTCAGCTCTTTGATTATCAACTAGCATAGTGCCAGGAATTATCAGGAGCCAAGTATTTTCTTTGAATATACTTTCTTCTTTCACTGATTAATTAACTGCCTTAAATCATTCAACAAACATCAAATGCTACTATGTGCAAAGTACTATATTCCAGAGAACACAGTGATTAGAATGTGTGTGACTGCTTTAGGAAGCAGATAATGTAAAATACACACATATAGAATATATATTAGAGTCACCTGACTTCCACAGACTGATTTCATTAGTATTTTATAGACCTCAATTTACATTTAAAATCTTATTTTACTAAGTTTGGGTATCATCTCTTTTTGGAAACAGAAATAGATTTGATGAAAAAAAGTTAGCTTTAGAATTCAGTAGGGAAAGAACAGTGCAATGAGAAAAAGATGTAAAAGACAACAAACTGGTACCAGTGAATGTGTCCCAAAATTTAAGGTACCCAAATTTACAGATCGGGGGGCTGAAATTGGACCAAAAATGTACAAGAAAAAAAAATTTTTCCTAAAACTCTATGCAAGGCTAATGGAAATATAATATAATCTAGTAGTGGTAACTTCATGGAAGCATTGGGGAGATATTCAGAATTTATTCTTATTTATGAATTGCTTACAGATTTTATGATACATTAGTTATATAAAAAGCCAAACTGATCCCAAATTTCCTTGCCCAAAACAGAAACTTTATAGTCAATAGGAAAATGCCTACGTGTCTGTGACTGGTATTACCTACCTGAACAGTTTTGGAGGCAAGATGCTGAATCGTGTTTTATCCAGAATTTTCCTGATTTTATTTCTTCCACCTGAAACAGTATTTGCTTTTACTTTTTTATTTCCTCTCTCCTGTGATGTCTGTTCAATGTCTCCTGGCACATCCTGGATTGAATGGCGATTACTTTTTTTTTCAGCAATTTTGGGAATATGAGGAACACCAGATTTCTCTTGTTCAGTCCTACTGAGTAACTCTTTGAACACTGTAGAAATAAATAAACTTGTCATTTCTTCTCTTCCCTTCAGAAAGTCTGTATCAATACCAAATATTAAAGACGTACAGTCACTTTCTATTACTTGGCCTTTCACAGCCTCATTCATTAAACATTATGAAATTTACAACTACCCTTTATTTATCAGCTATATGTCCACTTATCTCTTCAATTTTTACATCCAACTATACTTCTGATGTTGCCCAACTGGGATAAAGTCACTGAGTAAAATGGAAAGGCTGCCAGCATTGTTTGAAAGTCTAGGGTGCCCACATTTAGGTATTAAGCAACATAACTGCTAATCAACTCAGGTTTTATAGAAACATATTTAGATTATTATTTATGTGTTATTCATATATGATAACTGATATATCATTTGAGATGTAAGTACTATAGTCAGGTTAAGTTTTGTAAAACTAGACATTAAAGCTAGTCAGTAAAAGGAAGGGCTTTGCTCGACCTGTTTTCACCAGAAATAAACAGCACTAAATTTGGTAATAAATGAGTATTCCCTCAAGGTCATATTTATGAGACATCATTCAGTGACGCAGGTAAAATAAACACTTGCTATTTCTGTAACCAACCAACCATTCTTGGACAGCTTCCTATCACATCTAAGTCTGCTGAGTTATTTCGCCCTTAAGAAGGGTGCAAGCTCACTGGGGAACTTGCTTGTCTCTTTGCATAGATTTAATTTTTCACCTTGAGAAAGAGGCTAGAATCAAGTGAAAGATAAACTTGTGTAAGGCTATACTATACATCTAGAAACTTTACTATTCTCATTTTCCAGTTAAGAAATCCTGTATCACCTACTTTTCATTAAGTAATATCAGGAGAAAGATTTTTTGGTGTTGTTCATGTTTTAAATGTGTGTTCTTAAATAAGACACATCAATGGCTACAGAAAACAAAACACTTAAAAGATAAATGCTACAGCAGAAGGTAACTCTCCTAAGAATTCATAGTGCCTAAGCAGGGGAATCAAAGAAAAATTGTAGCTACATATTCTTGAACATGCAGGTCTTCAGCCATGTGAGATGTAAAACCTCAGCTTATCAGTAGGTATAGTTTTGAGTATTATTATGCTGTATCTTTATAGAAGAAAAGCTGTCAACTGTATAAATGTGCCCACTGAAACCCCATGCACAGAGAATTGTGATCTTTTCCATTGTTTCTGGGATAGATCAATATTTCCTCACAACATCAAAGGACTTACAACTAAGATTCAAATGAAATTAAAAACTGACCCTTTACAACCTAAGTAGCTTAGTATTCAGTTATAAACTGGAAATTTTGAGTTTCAACCAGAATATAACATTACCAAAGCACACTGCAAGCCTATGAAAAGCACATTTTCTGCCTTCAAAATAGTTGAAATCTTTAGAATAACATTTCAAAGATATTCTGCTTGACTAAAATACAGTAAATTCCCTTCAGTTTCTGTTCTTATAATTTCACTTTATTTTAAGCCATGTGGTGATATAAAATGCTTTTTGGGGCTAAAATATATTCATTCATTCACAAAATATTTACTGACCTATGAACACGTCACACACTTATTCTAGACAATTTCTCCTGTTGTGGAACATACAGTCAAAAACATATGGTATAGACAGAACATAACAAGAAGAACTAATTAAAGTAACAGGAAGGGAAACTCTTCCCTAAGTCAGTCACCATGTATAAGGACAGCAGATTTTAACTAGGGGAGGAGGAATGAGTTCTAGGTAGGGGAAATTCAAGTTCAAAAGGTAGAAGGAAAACTTCAAGGTAGATAGAAGGAAACTTCAAGGAAATGCAGATGACTAGAGAACAAGGTAGAGAAGTGGCCTGATAAGGCTATGGTAAAGTATCTCAATTTTCTGTTATGAGCAGAAGGAAATTTCTGAATGGACAGCAGATACCCCTTGCTGCAGTTGTGTATGTAAGGCTAACCCAATAGTGTACAAACTAGTTTGTATCCTCTCTGGACTGGTGTGTATAATTTTAAGTAACACTCTGTGGAGCCTGTGATTTGTAGATAAAAAAATGATTATGTCAAGTTAAAAAAAATTAGTTAAGGAAAAGTTAATGGAGGTGAGCAAATTTAATTACAGTGCTCTTAAACAGCAATATAGTCATACCAGATACATAAATCAGAAATGAGGACACCCACGAATCAGCAGAAGTTTAATAAATTTGACTACATAAAACTTCTCACTCTCTACATTCATGTACGTGTGTATGTATGTTTACACACACACAAAAAAAAGGAAGCCAAGAAAACTTGGGGAAAATATTTTTAACCCTTAAGACAAAAATATACTGTCCTTTTTGATACAAACAAATCAATAAAAGATGAGTAATTCCATATAACACAGGCAAATGAAAAGACTATTTATAAATGATACTATATTAAAAAATCTCCCTATTAGGAATGAATATCAATCATTATAAAGTTGATTATATCCACTGCAGAGATATTCTTATAAAATGATGAAATATATGTAGATTGGGGTAAGCTCTTGGAAAGTAAAATTCTGCATTAACTGTCAAAAGTTCCACTTTGAGAAATTTATAGGTATATCTATATAACCATAAAAGATGAGTACAAAGGATTTTTGTTACATCACTGTAAATAGCAAAAATTGTGAATAATCTAAAACATCCACCAAATATGACATTATCATGCAATGGATTCTATGTAATAATAATACAAGTAAATCTGTATGAACTGATGTGGAAAGGTATAGAATATTGTATATAGTATGGTTTGATCATCTATCTTTAGCGTTTTAATTTTTTTTTTGAGGATCCCAGCTCTCTTTATTTTTTAACTAAAATTTTACTCTTTGTTATTAAAACAATATGCTCATTCTAGAAAAATACAACAAAATGTTAAAAAAGAAAATTTGGAACACAATAATCATAACTCCACAATGCAGAGGTAACTACCTGGGGTGTATAGTGTTTTAATTCTTTATTAAAAATTCCAGAGCATGAAGAGGGTAAACTGAGATTGTTGTTTTCTTCTCTGGGGGGCATCTGCTGAGTCTAAACATGAGAAGCATATCCAGTAGTGGGACTACTAGAAGAAGGAGAATTTTGGATGGCTTTGAGTGCTGAAATGAAAACTGTAATACAGAGAAGCCCAAAAGCAGTATCGCTTTTCTCCACGGTTCATTTCTTAATATGACAAAGCAGGAGGCTAGGGACTGGTTGGAAATTTCTTAAGAGCAGACAAAGTCACACAAATGGGAAGGACTTGCAAAAAAAAACACAACACATTTACCTATTCAGGGTGGGAGGCTAGGGACTGGTTGGAAATTTCTTAGCAGAAAAAGTCACACAAATGGGAAGGACTTGCAAAAAACACAACACATTTATCTGTTTAGGGTGGGAGGTTAAAGAGCTAAGCTCAAAATCTCTGCCAGACAGAACTTATATAAAAATGAGATGAAAAGCTACCGAGCTCTGAATCAAAAGTCAAGCCTTGCATAGAGATTGGGGGTGTAGGTGGGGTAGGAAGACAAGGTTGGAAAAGCAGTGAAATTCCCTGTAGTCTCTCACTGTTCAGACACATAGGCACAAACTTCCATTAGAGGAGGGGCCTGTATCAGGCACAGGAAAAGTCTTGCTCCAGACTTGAAACAACTGGATACAGTCTAAGTAATTCTGTAACCCAGCCTGACCCAGCTCAATTCCCTTTACCCTATCTGCTTAAACAGAGGAAATGGCAAATTCTCTCTGTGAGACAGTATTAATCTCACTACTTTCCAAGGTTCCTTTATATGCAAAGTACAGCATATAATAAAAAAATTCTATGACACACAAGGTTAGAAAATATGTCTGATAACCAAAGGGGAAAACAGAATAAAAAGATAATCCAAATGCTAAAGTTAACGCAGAAGGATTTTATAATGACTATTATAAACATACTTTAGAAAATGGAGGAAAAAAGATAAAACGGATGAAAAGGAGAAGTGCAACAGAGAACTGGAGTTTATAAAAGAGATTCAAATGCATATTCTAGAACTGGAAAATTAAATATGTGAAATTAAATTAATTGTGTGTATGTAACAGCAGACTCGACAGAGCAGATAACAGGGTGATTTTGCTTAAATATAGGTCATTAGAAAATATCCAAACTGAAGCACAGAAGGGGGAAAATGGGAAGGATAGAAGAGACCCTAAGAGATACATGGGACACAAATCTTTAACACCCAGTTAACTGATCTCCCACATGGAAAGGAGACTCTGGCAAAGGCAATACCTGAAGTGATAATGGAATGAAATTTTTAAAACTGATGAGACATTAAGTAACAAATTCAAAAGCTCAGCAAACCCTAAACAAAATACAAAGAAAACTGTGGCACAAACTCCTTGTAATAGTTAAAATTGCTCTGAGTCCTATTTACACCCTGTGGAAAACGATGGTATTTTTGTTTTGCCTTCTGTGGGCCATGGTTCCTGTTCAGTTTTGAAAGCCTTTGCACTGCCATTTGGATCTGTCTGCCTTGTGTCCTTACTTGGTCAGTCGGGGCCTGAGCAGAGGTCTACCTGTATGCCAGTTCTCAAAGTCCTAAGGGTATACTAAAAAAAAGGATCCGGAACCATGGTAAATGAAGGATAGAGAAGAGCCCAAAGTTTCATAAACAACTTCACAGGGTTGCCTCCTCCTTTTCAGTTATCAGCCCAGCACTTAGGCTTGAGCTAGTTCTTTAGGCCCCCTTTCTGGTCCTCTACAGAGAAATAACCACTGTGGAAGCCTTAGGGGCCAGATAGCAGGAAGACAGAGCGAGCGGGAGGAAAACCAAAGAAGCTGGCCTTGCCTTCTTCACTCTGGGAAGTTTTTTTCCTGCTATTTTTCCTAAATACTTTCTTCTTCACATGTTTCTTTTAGATCTCCTGGGATAATGTTCAGTTCAATTTTCTGTTTGTTTGTTTTATAGTCTGGAATATTTCCTCAACTTTATTACTGATTCCTCCTATTGACTATTTTTGTCTTTGCCACAGTCTTTTAAGTCACTCTAAGAGTTATTTCTTTTTCAATGATTATTTTTTCTTTTTTCCTAACATCCTGTTCTTGTTATAAGGAATGAATTAAATCTTTCTAAATGAGTTCTAGAAATGTTTTTCTTTTCTTCTTCAAAATTAACTATTTTCTCTAGAATCTGTAAGCTCACTTATTAGGTTCACCACATTACCCCCTCAATGATCCTGGTTCTCCTGTGCCTGGTGATCACTTGCTCTCAGCGTCATTCAACACAAAATGACGAAGAATGCTTTGCTCTGGCTTCATCTAAACACATCTATTTTCTAGTTACAGCTTTCCTTTCCTTTTTGTAGGTGTTGTGACTGAGTTCCATGCAGGACAACAGAGTTGCTCAACTTTGTTTCATGGTAATGACAGAGTTTCTAGCACTTTAATCCAGGTACCATGTCCACACTAATAAGCTCCATTTCTACAAATGTTTTACTAGTATTCCTTTGAGATAGTTTTTGGTGTTTTGCTTAGGGTGCATGTTGACTGACTGCACTCCACCTGGGATAAGGAAGGTAGTACTGAGGGTACAGGCCCTCTTTTGCATCACATAACTCCTCCCTCTGCCATATCCAATCTAGGATTTTGTTGGGTAATTGCCTTTCACTACTCAGAGTTCTGAGGTTGTGGGTTCCCTATCTTTTGCATCCTCCAGATCCACTTTTTCTGTCTCCCAGGTCCATGTATAACCACTACATTATACTATCTCTGTATTTTTATATAAAATACTTAAGTTAAAAGTTCAAGCTTAGTCCTTGCTTCATTCAAACAGAGACATGACCAGAACATACCACAGGCACAGTAACTAACATCTGTACACAGAAAGGCAGAGTACACTATTATTAAAATCTGTAAGTCACTAATTAATTCAATGTTTTACTCAATGTATTTCCATAAAATTAACTGAGCATTCACAGTATTTCAGAAAGCTAGCTAAAACATTAAAAGTTCACTAATTTACACATTAGTGGGGGTAGGGGTAGGGTGCAAAAAGCCTGATGACTTCTAAGTTTCACTCATTTCCTCTCAGCAGAGTATAACAGATATTCAGAAGACATTTCATAAAAGACTGAATGTATTTCAGTCAATTTACAAATACTTTCTAAAACACCAAATAATAAAATAATGCAAAATGAAAATTCTAAAGTACATAATACTGTAACTCAACACCAAAGATCTTAAAAATGTCCAAATAGCTTAGACAGAAATGTTTACATTTCACTATCTTCTTTTTCATTATAACGAATTTTCTCTTTTCTATTACAAAAAAACCCCCAAAACAAAATACATCCTCACAGGTTTTACACCAAAACTCACCAAAAATGTTGGTCTTTACAGTAAGTGCAAGATGAGTATTATTCCTCAAAATTTCAAGGGCCTTCACAAATGTAATATTCTCAAAGTTTTGCCCGTTAACTTCCATTATCTTGAGAGAAGTATTTGAAAAATACAAATTAAGAAACAGTATTAGTTACTTCTGCAACATTAAGCTTGAATGAAATGAACGTTGAATAAAATGCACCCGTGTGAATGACTATTACTGTTTAATTTTTTTCTCTATATTGTATTTTTTCAAATCTTTACTATAATCACTTTTTAAAACATTCCCTCTGAGATCATATTAAAAAATTTTCTTAAAAACACAGGATGGTTTACATATGAAGGAAAAATTTTAATCATGTTAGATCAGTTCATAAAAATTACTGCCTATGTATACATAAATTTTAATGAAATATTCTAAATGCAAACTTACTGCATTTAAAAGAAAGGTAATTCATTTAAAAGTGGTACTCTACATATATCTCATGTCCTGCCACTGCTTGAATAAGACAGTCAAAAAGCAACAGGCAAAACTGTGACAGGCAGTTCCTCCACATGTCACTGCTGGACCTTCGTGGCATGGCCTCCCAAACTTGCCTGTACTTCAGAATCATACAGAAAGCTTACTTTAAAAATACTAATTCCAAGGAAAAAGGATAAAAAGATAAACATAATGACCAAAAAACAAAAAATAAAAATAAAAAAGCATAGACAACAATTCTCAGAGATTAACACAAAGATTCCAAAGGATTAAAAAAAAGAAATATTAGGAAAAGAAAAAGAAATCACTGAAGTAAAATTTTAAGTTGGAAAAAATCTTGAGTCTACATACTGACACAGATTATCTAGTATCATGCAAAGAAAATAAAGAGATCTATTTTTTTAACATATCCCAATGAAAAATCTGAATTCCACGGACAGGGAACAAAGAATCGATAAGTATCACTGTGGTGGGGGGAGGGAACCAAAGGTCCTTACAAAAGCAAAGTGAAGGTCGTTTTGGATTTCTCTTGGGCTAATACTGAGGTGATAGGATATCCTTCTGTGACTTCAAAGTTCTGAGGGAAAAATAACTGTGACCAAAGAATTTATACTACACTGAAAACAACATCAGATATGCATGGACACATGAAATTACTGTATTCATTCTTCCTTTTTGAAAAAGTACTAGAAGACAACTGTGAGATGAATCCAAATAGTGGGGATATGTGGCAGAGATGAAATGGAGGAGAGCAATGAAATCAGCAAGGTTGGTGCAAATGTCTAACTGATTGTTAGTAATAAGCTTATGAACCTAATGTAAACATCAAAGGTATTTTTTAAAGAGAAGGTACATCATGTTAAATAATGATTTAATAATCTAGATCTAATCTCTCAGATAATTTCAGTGATACTTGGGAGGACTGAAGGAGAACAAATAAATTTCCTTTCTTAGGAATGAAACTGGATTTCATTTTTTTTCTGTGAAGAATGAGATTCTTTAGTATGTTCACAATAAAAAATTGGAATGATAAATACAGTGACTTCAGGATCCTAGCTACTATTCTTAATGAGTAGTCTAGGAAAAGGCCCAGGTATCTTTTTTTAAAAAGCTCCCTTCGGATAAGGAGGGGATCATTATAACTTTGCATCAGTTTCTTAACCCCTTGTACTATTTATATTTGGGCTGAACAATTTTTGGTTGTGAGGGTTGCCCTTTTGTGGGGTGTTGTAGGTTGTTTTAGCAGCATCCTTAGAAGCTATCCACCAGATGCCAGTAGTATCCCTAAGTCATGACAATAAAAAATACGTCCAATTGTCAAATGTCTCCTGCCCAGGGCAAAATCACCCATTTGAGAACCACTATTCTGAAGTTTGGAACTTTTTAAGTGAATGCTCTCTTAACTTTAAATAATGATGGTATGGATCAGTTAAAAGTAAAATGAACACATTCTATATGAATGAATGAATTTACAAAAAAACTTTTTGCATGGCAAAAATTAATTTCCCAGGCGCTTCAGCTAGATTTGAGAAACCACTCTTTGGTGTGCATGAGAATCATCTAGAGAGCTGTTACAAACATTGATTCTCAGACCTTATTCTCAGGAGAATATGATTAATGTAAGGACTGAGGTGGGCCTAGGAATTGCATTTTTTAGTAAGAAAATTATCAGTGATCACATTTTGAAATACATTGCTCTACAGTTACCTAATGCCTGTATGCAAAGAATAAATCCCCACCAACTTCATACCAGCATCTCCCTCCTTCTCCTAGTCCCTCACCTGGCCACTCTGCTTATGGATGTAGTACTATTACCATATGAACATTATTTAAGCTGAAACCATCGTTTATGGTCATCTTTGGCCACTTACATTTTAGAGGTCTATGGGTGGTAGTGCTTGCTCCTTCAAAGCTTGCAAAGGTACTAACTCACATACTGGCCTTTCTCGAATATTCTGAAGCTACCAGTTGATACAGCTTCCTAATCTTTGGAGGATGAACAGGACCATTAAAAACAGGACATGCTGACAGTGCCCAGAGAACTATGCTGTCTCTGGTCACACTATATCAAATTTTCCATTAAAAGTAAGGGATATACAGCAAATATATTTTAAAAGTAAGCCATTTAAAAATATCACCTCTAAAAAGAGGCTCAAAAATTTTTTTCTTAAATTGACCATGCTTACTTGAAGAAACACCACATGAGGAAAAAAAAAGTAGCAGACACAGAACTTAGAAGAAGGCTTTAATCTAAGTGGCTGGTTATTTACTTACCTGATCACCACGTTTCAGTCCTGCTTCAGCAGCTTTGCTGCCAGGTTCTACTCCTTCAACAAAAATACCAAATCCCTTCTCACTTCCTCCGTTAAGGCTGAAATGCAGGGGAGACTCCCGGGAAGCCTTCTGTAGCACAACCTGTCTCCACTTAGCCTTTGCAGCACAGGCAATATTCAATAACCGGAGATGACCATTCATTTTCTAGGAAGTAGAAAAGGGCAAAATGTACATAAATATATGTAACTACTCCTATCAGCTTTGTAAAAAATCACCTAAAATTATTAGAATTTGACCTATATTTCAAATATAAAGAACATCAAATAGGGTAAAGAAAAACTGAGGAGGGAAAATGGCAAAAACTACTACTCACTTCCTGAACCTTCCTAATACATACTCCACTATTATCTTGTTTATCTCCTGTTATATAAAATCAGAATCCTTTTATACCTTTATTTAAAACCTTAAAGGATATAAACCATTTTCCAAAGTCACCACCTTTTCCAGGATTATTCCCATACTATTTTAGATCTTCCTTAGTCTCAGTAATATTCTAGCTTCCACAGCCTAATGCCAGTTTAATATTTAACTATTCTCAAATAGTGTAATATGCATAAATCCTATATTCATAATAAGAAGTTGGAAGTTGTTTGAGGGCAGGGACCAAATCTTATACCTGTTCTGAGCCTATATAACACTTTAGAGTGAAAGTAGAGTCCAATAAATATTTGATGACTGATTACTGGAAAAAAAATATTCCGTGATTGTAAGGCAGTTTCATTTTCCATTAAACCCTTGATACCAGCACAGCCAGCAGTGGAAGACCCAAATGATGAAATGATGGTAGTGAGCCTCTATGGCCTCTTAGTCAAGTTCCCCAGTCTCTGTGCATTCTTCCCATTTTGCATAAAGCAGATGTGCTGCTGAGAAAGCAACAGGAACCAAGTGGTGGGGAAAGGGACAAAAATCTGCCAGTCTTCCCCACTTTATTCAACCCAATCTACTTACACTGAGCATATTATGAGTAATAACTTGGTTCTTGCTATCTGCCAAGTTTTGTTCTCAGATTTGTTACATTCATTCGCTTATTATAATCCTCATAACAATCTCAATAAACTAGGGACAGTAACTCAAGCATAAATGGATAAGCAATTTGTCCAAGTTCATGTATCTAGCAAGTTGTGTAGTGTGAATGTTAACTGAGGCAATCTGACTTCTGAGTTGCTTTATTATTTACTTCCTAAATTTTCAAGGTGCTTGGAGCATGACAACCCAATTGCAGTTCAAAGTTTTACATATGACAGGATGAATAAAATGGATTTATAAATAGCTACTCTGAAAGGACCTAGAGAGGACCTTGACAGGATTATCTTAGGTGTTGTATATTTAGAACAAGTGAAATCACATGCACAACGGGGATTCAGAAAGTCTAATGTAGATCTGGTATGTAAGACAGGCCTTGAAGGCTGCACAGTTTCAAATAGCAAGACTGGAAGATGAGGCTTCCAGCCTGAGAGAACTGGTAAGGAATATAAAAGTAAGCTGGTTGGCCGTACTCTAGGGTGAAATAAATACTGAAATAAAATAAAGGCTGAAAATGTAGATGAGGGACCTGGATATATGGGTGAGGGATTATTTTGATAGGAAAACAGGCTTGTTAAGCTCATTTGTGGTTTAAAAACAATCTTTCAGTCATACAGAATGGACTAGAAGAGACTAGAACTAAAATTAGCAAGACATTGTATCAGATCAGATATAATGAAATGAGGCCCTAAACTGGGGTGTGAAAAGAAATGACTGAGAGAGACCACAGGAAATGTGTGTATGTGTATAACTAAATCAGTGAGCCTGGTGACTTGAGCAACTGACTGGACACTGTGGCCAGGGAATTCAAGGAAACCAGAGAGGGGGCCCACATACACACCAAAGTTAGGAAGCCTGGGGGACTGAGCCAACATATCATTAGCCTTAAGACAGAAAAAGAAGACAAGGAAGAGGCATGGTTTTTATTTGGGTTTGAGTGGCAGATGAGCCGAAGTCTGAAACACAGATTTGGAAGTTCTCAGAACAGACATTCAAGACATGGAGATGAAAGATGCTCTGAGCTGCTTATTCAGAAGGGTTGGAGAAATCCCTAAATTCTGAAGAACATAAATTCTTTTAAGCCTTACTGTATCTTCCAGATTTTTTTCAAATTCCTCCAGAAATTGAGTCATAGCAGGATCACCTTCAAAATCATTAAAATGATTGTTTACCCATAATAATACAATCCGAGTTACCTGTGGAAACATGAGGGAGGCAGCAGATAATTATGAAGCATTCTTTCTGTAAAAGTAGATTCCAAAAGCATGTCCGAAACCAACCAGGAACTGAGCTATATGGTTGACCTTTTTGCCCTCTTTCCTGCACACAAAAGGTTCATGCTAATAGAGGCATGATTTAGTTGAAGTCTTTGCACCCTTGGTCACACAAGTAACAGAGATAGTCAAGACTGCATACCCTCAGTGAGAAAACACAAGCTTGGTTGCTAACATGTAAAAAGTATGTGGAAAGTGTATTTAAGGTAGTATGTTAAAACACATGATTCTAAGATCAGGCAATGATATCTAACATGCTCTTATAGCTGAGAATATGTTTAAATTCATAAAAAAACAAACCTTAAACTTCATTATAAATAGTGTGAATTTTTTAAGTTGTGTGAACTGATTTACTTTGTGTCACAGATTATCAGAAAAGTTAAAAAAAAATTGAAGTTGAAATGAATACTGTGCCTAACAGTACAATTAATTCATTTAAAAAACCAGCAGATACATAGAAAATGCACCATTTTAGCCACTTCATAAAGTGTACAGTTCAGTGGCATTTAGCACATTCAGAATGGTGTGTAACCACCACCACCACCTAGTTCCAGAATATTTTACCACCTCAGAAGAAAACCCTATTCCCATTAAGCAGTGCCCTACCATTCTGCCCTCTCTCTAGCCCCTAGCAGCTAAGGATTTGCCAACTTTGGATTTTTCATACAAGTGATCTTTTGTGTCAGGCTTCTGTCACTTAGCATAAGGTCTTCAAGGTTCATCCATGTTGCAGCATTTTTCACTATTTCATTCCTTTTTATGGCTAAATATTTCATTATATGGCTATACCACTTTTTATTTATACATTCATTAATGGACATTTGGGTTGTTTCTACCTTTTGGCTATTGTCAATAGTGCTATGAACATTTGTATACAAGTATTTGCACACCTGCTTTCATTTTTTTTAAATCTGTAAGTAGAATTGCTTGCTTTTATGGTAATTGTTTAATTTTTTGAAGAATCATCAAACTGTTTTCCATGGCAGCTATACCATCTTATATTACTACCATCAATGTATAGGATTCCACTTTCTCCACATTCACATCGTTGGCAATACTTGTTATCTCCTTTCCTTTTAAAGCTATCCTAGTGGGTATGAAGAATCTCATTGTGGTTTTGATTTGCATTTCCCTATGACTAATAATGTGGAACATCTTTTTCATGTCTTTGCTGGCCATTTATATGCTTTCTTCAGAGCTATGTCTATTCAAGTCTTTTGTCTACTTTTAAACTATGTTATCTTTAAGTGTTGTTGAGTTCTAAGAATTTTTCTGCATGCTAGACCCTTATCAGATACATGATTTGTAAATATATTCTCCCATTCCACATGTAGTTCTTTCTTGATAGTGTCCTTTGATGTACAACAGGTTTTAATTTGATCAAGTTCAATTTACCTGTTTTCCCCTTTGTTGCTTGTGCTCTAAGTATCCTATCTAAGAAACCATTGCCTAATTCAGGGTCATGATTTTTTTTACCTCATTCTTCTAGGAGTTCTACAGTTTTAACTCTTAAATTCAGGTCTTTGTATATGAGTTACTTTTGATTCACTCTGAATTAATTTTGTATATGGTATACAGTAAGGGTTCAACCTCATTCTTTTGCATGTGGATATCTTAGTTGTCCCTAAATCATTTTTTAGTTCATTCTCTCTATATATAAATAAAGCATGACTTTATTTCCTCAGCAACTGAAGTAATCATATATAACTCTAAAAGAAGAGGGCAGGAGGGGAGAAGGCAGGCCTGTATGCAGTTTCGGATACTCTAGTTTCCTAAACAGAATTCCACAGTTCAACTACATCTAATTCATTTCCTTTAAAATATACTCAAAAAGACACATAAGGCAATTATGGTCGTTTTTATTTTCTTAAAATTTTAACTTCCTACCAATTTGCTGAGGTATTACTAGTCTTTCCATTAAATGTGTAAACACTCCTGAAATAAGGCAAGATAATCTATTTCAAAAAGCAAACAATGTTTAATGCAAAAAAAACCCTTAAAGGTAGAATTAAGTCACAGCAGAGATGAATTAAGGTAAAAAAAGACAAACTGTTTTCAAATGATTAGAAATGCTGTAATTCAGAAAAACTAATAATTTCTATTTTGGAGCTTACCAATAATTTAAGTCCTCTTAAAAAAACTTACTTGGTAAATATTTTTCTAAGCTATTAATCAGTTTTTAAATATTTTATTGATCTCCTTCAGAAACAACCAAATATTTTGATAGAGTTCAAAATCATTCTCATGCAGTTACCATGTTTTCTGAATTTACAGCTACCCCACAGCTTTGTCAGTTTTTGCCTTTTAAGGCTCATTATCCACCTTTCAACATGCTATTTTGTCATAAAAGTAACTAAGCAGAAACATGTCTATACTAATTTTTTAATTGAGTGAGTCTTATCAAAATAAAAATTTCTCAGTTCCAGAAGGTTTTATAAATAAAATTCAAAGGTTAAAATCACTTTCATGCCCTTTATATTTATAAAACTAACCTTATCCCTTAAGCTGTCAATTTTAAACCATTCCAACAGTTTGATCCCAACATCCAAAGGACTTTCAAGAAATGTCCTATAAGTTAAAAGGAAATCTTCTATATAAGTCGGGTCCACAATGGAATGCTCTTCCATTAAATGCATGATGAGACGCTCAGGTGTTGCCTGAAAATCAAGGATAGCATGAAAATAAACAAACAGCTTAGGAACTAAAGAACTCCTACTGATTACTTTCCCCAGCCACTCCATTAGACAAGTCCTCAAAGGGGAATTTCACCCTTAAAACCTTCAGTACTGGAAGAAGGTAGTCTCTATAGGTTGTACTCCACCAGCAACCAGACAGAGAGAGAGAGAAAAGGCAGAGGAATAAAAATACCCAACAGGATACACTGTTTTCACTGGCATTTCATCACAGCAAGGCTTTTGAACTTCAGTGATTTACCCCTGGCATGGACTGTGACAGCCAAGTATACTGCAATGTGAGATGTCTCAAGGCAACAGAAGGAAGAGCTGAATGTTAAACTTACAAAAAAAAAGAAAGAGCTTTCCTTCACACTTAATCATCCTCATTCTCTTCTGCTCCAGGCTATAGAAGTAACACACCACTTCAAGACAGTGTGCTTTACTGTAATACTGATACTTCCTCGAACAGGAATTTCCTCTTCTGTAGTTTCTCCATGCTCATTTACCATCTTGAGAGGAACCAGAAGTTCTATAGACAGCTTTTACATCAACTCAAGAGTTTTAACCACTTGCCTGTCTCCAAATTTATACAAAGGAATGTCAACAACATTTATCTACTATTCCACTTTGAGCTCCTGAATCAATGTTAAATTTTATTACCTTTATGCCCGTTTCAAAAATGGGTACACAGAAGAAACACAGAAATAAACCAGATGCTAAGCCAAATATAAAAGCCAACTATTGCCCAAAACCTCAGATTTCAATTTGTTGTATTTCAGCTTAACAATTTCATTGGTCAGAATAACTGTATGGTAAATATACATTAACACTAATAATGTTTTTATATAATAATTTTTTTAAGTACCCAATGCTAACCACATATGTAAATTATTGCTCTAGAAGGAAACAGAAGTAAGTTTCTTCATATAACCTATTTCAGCAACAAGGTAACCAAAGACCATTCCCATTCTTATCCACCCTACAGAACACTCCAAATGTCAGAGTACCACTGGGCTGATTGTTCAGGCTGGTCATGGTTTGAGGTTACTTAAATCTGCTGCTTAGATTATGCACAACTAAGTCAAGAGTGGAACAGATCACTATGTTCAAGAAAGGCCATTACTGTGATTGGCTAAATCACTACCTGTAGAGACTAGGCCATATATTCAAAACTTTAAAGATGAGTCCCCTTGTCATTGAAAGGTGTGTCACTGGGGTGTCTCTAGTGTCCAACAAGGTGATGATTAATGTAAGGACTGAGGTGGGCCTAGGAATTGCATTTTTTAGTAAGAAAATTATCAGTGATCACATTTTGAAATACATTGCTCTACAGTTACCTAATGCCTGTATGCAAAGAATAAATCCCCACCAACTTCATACCAGCATCTCCCTCCTTCTCCTAGTCCCTCACCTGGCCACTCTGCTTATGGATGTAGTACTATTACCATATGAACATTATTTAAGCTGAAACCATCGTTTATGGTCATCTTTGGCCACTTACATTTTAGAGGTCTATGGGTGGTAGTGCTTGCTCCTTCAAAGCTTGCAAAGGTACTAACTCACATACTGGCCTTTCTCGAATATTCTGAAGCTACCAGTTGATACAGCTTCCTAATCTTTGGAGGATGAACAGGACCATTAAAAACAGGACATGCTGACAGTGCCCAGAGAACTATGCTGTCTCTGGTCACACTATATCAAATTTTCCATTAAAAGTAAGGGATATACAGCAAATATATTTTAAAAGTAAGCCATTTAAAAATATCACCTCTAAAAAGAGGCTCAAAAATTTTTTTCTTAAATTGACCATGCTTACTTGAAGAAACACCACATGAGGAAAAAAAAAGTAGCAGACACAGAACTTAGAAGAAGGCTTTAATCTAAGTGGCTGGTTATTTACTTACCTGATCACCACGTTTCAGTCCTGCTTCAGCAGCTTTGCTGCCAGGTTCTACTCCTTCAACAAAAATACCAAATCCCTTCTCACTTCCTCCGTTAAGGCTGAAATGCAGGGGAGACTCCCGGGAAGCCTTCTGTAGCACAACCTGTCTCCACTTAGCCTTTGCAGCACAGGCAATATTCAATAACCGGAGATGACCATTCATTTTCTAGGAAGTAGAAAAGGGCAAAATGTACATAAATATATGTAACTACTCCTATCAGCTTTGTAAAAAATCACCTAAAATTATTAGAATTTGACCTATATTTCAAATATAAAGAACATCAAATAGGGTAAAGAAAAACTGAGGAGGGAAAATGGCAAAAACTACTACTCACTTCCTGAACCTTCCTAATACATACTCCACTATTATCTTGTTTATCTCCTGTTATATAAAATCAGAATCCTTTTATACCTTTATTTAAAACCTTAAAGGATATAAACCATTTTCCAAAGTCACCACCTTTTCCAGGATTATTCCCATACTATTTTAGATCTTCCTTAGTCTCAGTAATATTCTAGCTTCCACAGCCTAATGCCAGTTTAATATTTAACTATTCTCAAATAGTGTAATATGCATAAATCCTATATTCATAATAAGAAGTTGGAAGTTGTTTGAGGGCAGGGACCAAATCTTATACCTGTTCTGAGCCTATATAACACTTTAGAGTGAAAGTAGAGTCCAATAAATATTTGATGACTGATTACTGGAAAAAAAATATTCCGTGATTGTAAGGCAGTTTCATTTTCCATTAAACCCTTGATACCAGCACAGCCAGCAGTGGAAGACCCAAATGATGAAATGATGGTAGTGAGCCTCTATGGCCTCTTAGTCAAGTTCCCCAGTCTCTGTGCATTCTTCCCATTTTGCATAAAGCAGATGTGCTGCTGAGAAAGCAACAGGAACCAAGTGGTGGGGAAAGGGACAAAAATCTGCCAGTCTTCCCCACTTTATTCAACCCAATCTACTTACACTGAGCATATTATGAGTAATAACTTGGTTCTTGCTATCTGCCAAGTTTTGTTCTCAGATTTGTTACATTCATTCGCTTATTATAATCCTCATAACAATCTCAATAAACTAGGGACAGTAACTCAAGCATAAATGGATAAGCAATTTGTCCAAGTTCATGTATCTAGCAAGTTGTGTAGTGTGAATGTTAACTGAGGCAATCTGACTTCTGAGTTGCTTTATTATTTACTTCCTAAATTTTCAAGGTGCTTGGAGCATGACAACCCAATTGCAGTTCAAAGTTTTACATATGACAGGATGAATAAAATGGATTTATAAATAGCTACTCTGAAAGGACCTAGAGAGGACCTTGACAGGATTATCTTAGGTGTTGTATATTTAGAACAAGTGAAATCACATGCACAACGGGGATTCAGAAAGTCTAATGTAGATCTGGTATGTAAGACAGGCCTTGAAGGCTGCACAGTTTCAAATAGCAAGACTGGAAGATGAGGCTTCCAGCCTGAGAGAACTGGTAAGGAATATAAAAGTAAGCTGGTTGGCCGTACTCTAGGGTGAAATAAATACTGAAATAAAATAAAGGCTGAAAATGTAGATGAGGGACCTGGATATATGGGTGAGGGATTATTTTGATAGGAAAACAGGCTTGTTAAGCTCATTTGTGGTTTAAAAACAATCTTTCAGTCATACAGAATGGACTAGAAGAGACTAGAACTAAAATTAGCAAGACATTGTATCAGATCAGATATAATGAAATGAGGCCCTAAACTGGGGTGTGAAAAGAAATGACTGAGAGAGACCACAGGAAATGTGTGTATGTGTATAACTAAATCAGTGAGCCTGGTGACTTGAGCAACTGACTGGACACTGTGGCCAGGGAATTCAAGGAAACCAGAGAGGGGGCCCACATACACACCAAAGTTAGGAAGCCTGGGGGACTGAGCCAACATATCATTAGCCTTAAGACAGAAAAAGAAGACAAGGAAGAGGCATGGTTTTTATTTGGGTTTGAGTGGCAGATGAGCCGAAGTCTGAAACACAGATTTGGAAGTTCTCAGAACAGACATTCAAGACATGGAGATGAAAGATGCTCTGAGCTGCTTATTCAGAAGGGTTGGAGAAATCCCTAAATTCTGAAGAACATAAATTCTTTTAAGCCTTACTGTATCTTCCAGATTTTTTTCAAATTCCTCCAGAAATTGAGTCATAGCAGGATCACCTTCAAAATCATTAAAATGATTGTTTACCCATAATAATACAATCCGAGTTACCTGTGGAAACATGAGGGAGGCAGCAGATAATTATGAAGCATTCTTTCTGTAAAAGTAGATTCCAAAAGCATGTCCGAAACCAACCAGGAACTGAGCTATATGGTTGACCTTTTTGCCCTCTTTCCTGCACACAAAAGGTTCATGCTAATAGAGGCATGATTTAGTTGAAGTCTTTGCACCCTTGGTCACACAAGTAACAGAGATAGTCAAGACTGCATACCCTCAGTGAGAAAACACAAGCTTGGTTGCTAACATGTAAAAAGTATGTGGAAAGTGTATTTAAGGTAGTATGTTAAAACACATGATTCTAAGATCAGGCAATGATATCTAACATGCTCTTATAGCTGAGAATATGTTTAAATTCATAAAAAAACAAACCTTAAACTTCATTATAAATAGTGTGAATTTTTTAAGTTGTGTGAACTGATTTACTTTGTGTCACAGATTATCAGAAAAGTTAAAAAAAAATTGAAGTTGAAATGAATACTGTGCCTAACAGTACAATTAATTCATTTAAAAAACCAGCAGATACATAGAAAATGCACCATTTTAGCCACTTCATAAAGTGTACAGTTCAGTGGCATTTAGCACATTCAGAATGGTGTGTAACCACCACCACCACCTAGTTCCAGAATATTTTACCACCTCAGAAGAAAACCCTATTCCCATTAAGCAGTGCCCTACCATTCTGCCCTCTCTCTAGCCCCTAGCAGCTAAGGATTTGCCAACTTTGGATTTTTCATACAAGTGATCTTTTGTGTCAGGCTTCTGTCACTTAGCATAAGGTCTTCAAGGTTCATCCATGTTGCAGCATTTTTCACTATTTCATTCCTTTTTATGGCTAAATATTTCATTATATGGCTATACCACTTTTTATTTATACATTCATTAATGGACATTTGGGTTGTTTCTACCTTTTGGCTATTGTCAATAGTGCTATGAACATTTGTATACAAGTATTTGCACACCTGCTTTCATTTTTTTTAAATCTGTAAGTAGAATTGCTTGCTTTTATGGTAATTGTTTAATTTTTTGAAGAATCATCAAACTGTTTTCCATGGCAGCTATACCATCTTATATTACTACCATCAATGTATAGGATTCCACTTTCTCCACATTCACATCGTTGGCAATACTTGTTATCTCCTTTCCTTTTAAAGCTATCCTAGTGGGTATGAAGAATCTCATTGTGGTTTTGATTTGCATTTCCCTATGACTAATAATGTGGAACATCTTTTTCATGTCTTTGCTGGCCATTTATATGCTTTCTTCAGAGCTATGTCTATTCAAGTCTTTTGTCTACTTTTAAACTATGTTATCTTTAAGTGTTGTTGAGTTCTAAGAATTTTTCTGCATGCTAGACCCTTATCAGATACATGATTTGTAAATATATTCTCCCATTCCACATGTAGTTCTTTCTTGATAGTGTCCTTTGATGTACAACAGGTTTTAATTTGATCAAGTTCAATTTACCTGTTTTCCCCTTTGTTGCTTGTGCTCTAAGTATCCTATCTAAGAAACCATTGCCTAATTCAGGGTCATGATTTTTTTTACCTCATTCTTCTAGGAGTTCTACAGTTTTAACTCTTAAATTCAGGTCTTTGTATATGAGTTACTTTTGATTCACTCTGAATTAATTTTGTATATGGTATACAGTAAGGGTTCAACCTCATTCTTTTGCATGTGGATATCTTAGTTGTCCCTAAATCATTTTTTAGTTCATTCTCTCTATATATAAATAAAGCATGACTTTATTTCCTCAGCAACTGAAGTAATCATATATAACTCTAAAAGAAGAGGGCAGGAGGGGAGAAGGCAGGCCTGTATGCAGTTTCGGATACTCTAGTTTCCTAAACAGAATTCCACAGTTCAACTACATCTAATTCATTTCCTTTAAAATATACTCAAAAAGACACATAAGGCAATTATGGTCGTTTTTATTTTCTTAAAATTTTAACTTCCTACCAATTTGCTGAGGTATTACTAGTCTTTCCATTAAATGTGTAAACACTCCTGAAATAAGGCAAGATAATCTATTTCAAAAAGCAAACAATGTTTAATGCAAAAAAAACCCTTAAAGGTAGAATTAAGTCACAGCAGAGATGAATTAAGGTAAAAAAAGACAAACTGTTTTCAAATGATTAGAAATGCTGTAATTCAGAAAAACTAATAATTTCTATTTTGGAGCTTACCAATAATTTAAGTCCTCTTAAAAAAACTTACTTGGTAAATATTTTTCTAAGCTATTAATCAGTTTTTAAATATTTTATTGATCTCCTTCAGAAACAACCAAATATTTTGATAGAGTTCAAAATCATTCTCATGCAGTTACCATGTTTTCTGAATTTACAGCTACCCCACAGCTTTGTCAGTTTTTGCCTTTTAAGGCTCATTATCCACCTTTCAACATGCTATTTTGTCATAAAAGTAACTAAGCAGAAACATGTCTATACTAATTTTTTAATTGAGTGAGTCTTATCAAAATAAAAATTTCTCAGTTCCAGAAGGTTTTATAAATAAAATTCAAAGGTTAAAATCACTTTCATGCCCTTTATATTTATAAAACTAACCTTATCCCTTAAGCTGTCAATTTTAAACCATTCCAACAGTTTGATCCCAACATCCAAAGGACTTTCAAGAAATGTCCTATAAGTTAAAAGGAAATCTTCTATATAAGTCGGGTCCACAATGGAATGCTCTTCCATTAAATGCATGATGAGACGCTCAGGTGTTGCCTGAAAATCAAGGATAGCATGAAAATAAACAAACAGCTTAGGAACTAAAGAACTCCTACTGATTACTTTCCCCAGCCACTCCATTAGACAAGTCCTCAAAGGGGAATTTCACCCTTAAAACCTTCAGTACTGGAAGAAGGTAGTCTCTATAGGTTGTACTCCACCAGCAACCAGACAGAGAGAGAGAGAAAAGGCAGAGGAATAAAAATACCCAACAGGATACACTGTTTTCACTGGCATTTCATCACAGCAAGGCTTTTGAACTTCAGTGATTTACCCCTGGCATGGACTGTGACAGCCAAGTATACTGCAATGTGAGATGTCTCAAGGCAACAGAAGGAAGAGCTGAATGTTAAACTTACAAAAAAAAAGAAAGAGCTTTCCTTCACACTTAATCATCCTCATTCTCTTCTGCTCCAGGCTATAGAAGTAACACACCACTTCAAGACAGTGTGCTTTACTGTAATACTGATACTTCCTCGAACAGGAATTTCCTCTTCTGTAGTTTCTCCATGCTCATTTACCATCTTGAGAGGAACCAGAAGTTCTATAGACAGCTTTTACATCAACTCAAGAGTTTTAACCACTTGCCTGTCTCCAAATTTATACAAAGGAATGTCAACAACATTTATCTACTATTCCACTTTGAGCTCCTGAATCAATGTTAAATTTTATTACCTTTATGCCCGTTTCAAAAATGGGTACACAGAAGAAACACAGAAATAAACCAGATGCTAAGCCAAATATAAAAGCCAACTATTGCCCAAAACCTCAGATTTCAATTTGTTGTATTTCAGCTTAACAATTTCATTGGTCAGAATAACTGTATGGTAAATATACATTAACACTAATAATGTTTTTATATAATAATTTTTTTAAGTACCCAATGCTAACCACATATGTAAATTATTGCTCTAGAAGGAAACAGAAGTAAGTTTCTTCATATAACCTATTTCAGCAACAAGGTAACCAAAGACCATTCCCATTCTTATCCACCCTACAGAACACTCCAAATGTCAGAGTACCACTGGGCTGATTGTTCAGGCTGGTCATGGTTTGAGGTTACTTAAATCTGCTGCTTAGATTATGCACAACTAAGTCAAGAGTGGAACAGATCACTATGTTCAAGAAAGGCCATTACTGTGATTGGCTAAATCACTACCTGTAGAGACTAGGCCATATATTCAAAACTTTAAAGATGAGTCCCCTTGTCATTGAAAGGTGTGTCACTGGGGTGTCTCTAGTGTCCAACAAGGTGGGACCCTGGGAGACACTGTGCACAGAGTTGGCGTGTGGACATGTCTGGCATGGCTACATTGGCATGGTAAAGATTGGTTACAATGTGCAACCAAGTGACTATACACAGCATAACGAGAGTCACTGTTGGAGAAGGTATATTTACAGTATCAGAAGCAAAAAGCTAGGAAGAACATGTGGTTCAATATTGACATTGGGAACACTGGTATGAACTCATGATTGTTAGAGACAGACAAAGTTATAGATGTGTACATAATTATAGCAAATATGTATATTTCCTAGCTCTGTTTGATGAGAGGCCTAGAAGCACTGACAACCTGGTAGCAATGAACAGAGTAAGTGCCCAGTCTTGTTGGTTAAACACTGTTCTCCACTAGAAGGATCCAGGGCTTCTGGAGAAATGGATTATTTCAAAGCTAGAGAGGTTACAGTATATGATGAGCCTAGAACATCTTGCTTTGCCAGACAATAAGAATGCTCTCAAAAAATGATAGGAACATGACAAAAGGATACAAGAGTTGGCCTTAAGAGGGTCCCTCTGGTGAAATCTGGGACAATTTGACCACTGGAACAACATTAGTGATTAGGGAATAATATAGCATGTGAGTCCATACCAATATAATTAAATTAATGGGAGAGGAGCAAAAGCTTATAGAAGGACAATAAATGTAAAGAATTAATAGAAATATAAAATCATCATTTCGGGCAGCACTAGTCAATGGAAGACTGGTGGATAGGGGTTTGCAGGACATACTGACACTATCTCAGAACATCTCTCCTCCTAATTATGATCAATTACAAAAGATAAAATGGGGAGTTTACAGTGAAGAAATGTGGCTGACCAAAATCCCACATGACCAAGTGGTTAAGGTTAACTTCAGCAATGGCGGGACAGGCTGACACCTTGTGCTCCCTGATATGATGCACTGAGAAGAGCAGAGTATCATCCTGCTATGAAGGCATGACTTGAATTTGGACATGAGGAAATATTAGACAGATCCAGGCTGAGGGTCAAACTACAGAATATAAGATCTGGACTCTTTAAAACAGCTGAGAATATGGACAGGGAACCATTATTCCTGGAAAAGATTGAAGTGACAAAACAACTAAAAGCAACTATGTTCCTGGTTGATATCCTGGACCAGAAGGAAAAAGCCGTGAAAATCTAATATGGTCTGTAGGCTTAATGGCTTTACTTTATCAACGTTCATTTCTTAAATTGAAGGGTTCTATGGTGTTTATGTAGAAAAGCGTTCTGTTTTTAGGAAGTACGCAGTGGAATACTTGGGAGTGATGAATCACATGTGCAGACTACTCTCAAACCGTACAGAGAAGACTGATGATAATGGAGAAACTGCAGTGAAATGCTAACATTTGGGGAACCTGAGTCAGGGAGCTCTCTATGCTGCTCTTGCAACTTTTCTGTAAGTTTGAAATTATTTAAAAATAAAGTAGTTAAAAACATAAGCCCCCATAAAAAGACAGCCTATGACAGTTCACTCATATGTTCATCTTTCTACATACAAAGCCTACACTTTTCAGTTTATGAGAAGAAAAAAAACAGGAAATAGCCTGACTCCCAAGAAGAGATTGAACATCAGTCCCTCATCTTATTAAATAAGCTTCTGCAATTGCAGTGAATAACAATACATTTACCTATTTTGCAACCAAGACTAGCTTAAAAGATAAATGGTCATGCATTTGTTTTATTTCCTCACTTTCTACTATAATTGCTCTAATTTATATCTACAGGCATAAAGGGGGTAACGAGATTGTGCAGCAGGACAGTTTGGGAGGCAAGGAAAAGGGAGTCAGAGAAAGGAAAACAGTATGGGGAGTAAGACTCAGACTCTGACAACGTGCTAAGGCTTTTGATTTGCCTCACTGAGCCCTAACAAAGCCCTGGTGTACCACCCCCACTTTCAGAAAAGGAAACTAAGGTTCAGAGAAGTTGATGCTTATTTCAATTCCACAGAGAACCAGTGAGCTTTCTGTTTCTTCATCTAGGATTCCTTATGCCTTTATGGTCCATCCTTTCATTTTCTGTTTTGTTTCTAAATATTGTGTCTTTAATGAAATGAATCCTGTTACCTATGTTTCATAAAATAAATTTGTGGAAAACTTTGACTAGTATACTCTAAAATTATCCTATGCATACTAATGTTAAGTGGTAATGTCACATTTCATTATTAAAATGTACAAAAACCAACTTAGAGAAAAGCAAAAGGACCAACAGATTTAAACTAATTTGCAAAGTTAGCAAATTCTCCTGCACTATTCAAAAAGTGGTTCAAAGTCTTTTAAGCAACATGCAAGCATTAGTCTATCAGTGACAAGAATAGTAAGCAAAAACACCCACCTTAATCACAATGTGTCCTTTCCTGGTTCCACTCCGATCTAGCTCACGGTGCTCATGCACCATAACAATTTCTCCCTCTTCCTCAACTTTATGGGTATTTTTTTCCACATGATTTAAAATTCTCCAATAATCCTGCTGGGCTATGCAGACAAACTGACCGAGAACAACATGCGGACAATTAATAAACCTATAGTACATAAATACATCACTCTGTACCAAGGCAGAGTACAAAGGTAAGAAATCAAGCGGCATCAGTTTTCTATTCAATCCCTAGTCCTTAGCAAAAATAAAAGTGAAATGAATACTTCATGCATAAAGAGACCAGAGAAGTTAAAATCTGTTTGAATTCTGCTCTAAAAGGAGAAGTGACCATCTAGTTCTCTCAAAACTGACACTGCAAAGAAAACACGAAGCAGGAATAAGTTACAGACAAACAACTCCCAAGTTCCTATTTCTTTCCTTTATTAAAAAAAAAAGGACTGAGCTGACTACTATCTATAGAAATTTAACAAACCACTATTTGGTATAACCTCTTTAAAAAAATTTGTAGTTTATTCAATTCCACAAATATTTGAGTCAAATATAAAATTTAGGTTTCTTTTTTAACTGTGAGCTTCTGAAACTCCCAATTCTAGTTATTTTATTTTGAGGAAGGAAACACAGGTTCAGCCATTTTAATGAACAAACAAGTACATAACAGATAAGCTTACCTGACAATCATCTACTTTAGTCCTAACAACTCCATGCATGTACTGCTTATCCAGAGTGGGAGTAATTCCAAAACTATTCCCCATGAAGAGATTTTCAACTTTTCCATCTGGATGACTGATTTCTACAGTACCATTTAAAATAACATACCATGAATCAAGCTACAGAGAAAAAGACAGATTTTAAGAATCTTTTAAAAAGGTAGTTACATGTTAATTTTGGAAAATAATCAGTCAATATAAAGAACTTAATCTTAAAAAAGAAAAGGGAAGATCTGATTATTTTACTAAATATTCTGTCAGTAACACCCTATGCCTTCTGACCTACCTTATACAAACCTCTAAAGCTTACTTTACCTTTTTTTTCTCAGTCACCAAATGACATCAGGGATTTTCTAAATGAACAAATACTCTGAGACAAATTAAACTAACACGTAAGACTACAGCTCTGAGAATTTGAATTCAGATCCTGCCATTCACTAGCTGAGTGACTTTGGGCCAAGGATTTAATCTCTCTGGACCTCAGTTTCTCTGTTGCTAAAATGGCATAACAACAGTACCTACCATAGGACTTTTGTGTTAATTAAATGAGTTTATATACAACTAAGTGCTTAAGGAACAGTGCACAAAGCAAGCACTCCAAAGTGGGGAAAAGGTGGCTGGTGATTAATTCAGAAAGATTACTACAAATCTGAATTTTTTTTTGGTATCATTAACGTACAATTACATGAGCAACATTACTGTTACTAGACTTCCCCCATTAACGAGTCCCCACCACATACCCCATTACAGTCACTGTCCATCAGCGTACTAAGATGCTATAGAATCACTACTTCTCTTCTCTGTGTTGCACTGCCCTCCCCGTGCCACCACTGCCACATCATGTGTGCTAATCATAATGCCCTTTTTCCCCCTTATCCCTTCCTTCCCACCCATCCTCCCCAGGCCCTCTCTCTTTGGTAACTGTTAGTCTATTCTTGGGTTCTGTGATTCTGTTGCTGTTTTGCTCCTTCAGGTTTTTCTTTGTTCTTATACTCCACAGATGAGTGAAATCATTTGATACTTGTCTTTCTCCACCTGGCTTATTTCACTGAGCATAATACCCTCTAGCTCCATCCAGGTTGTTGCAAATGTTAGGATTTGTTTTCTTCATATGGCTGAGTAATATTCCATTGTGTATATGTACCACAGCTTCTTTATCCATTCATCTACTGATAGACACTTAGGTTGCTTCCATTTCTTGGCTATTGTAAATAGTACTGCGATAAACATAGGGGTGCATATGTCTTTTTCAAATTGGACTGCTGCATTCTTAGGGTAAATTCCTAGGAGTGGAATTCCTAGGTTAAATGCTATTTCTATTTTGAGTTTTTTGAGGAACCTCCATACTGCTTTCCACAAAGATTGAAGTAAATTACGTTCCCACCAGCAGTACAGGAAGTTTCCCCTTTCTCCACATCCTCACCAACATTTGTTGTTGTTTGTCTTTTGGATGGTGGTGATCCTTACTGGTGTGAGGTGGTTTTAATTTGCATTTCTCTGATGACTGGCAATGTGGAACATCTTTTCATGTGCCTGTTGGCCATCTGCATTTCTTCTTTAGAGAAGTATCTGTTCAGATCCCCTGCCTATTTATCAATTGGATTATTTGCTTTTTGTTTGTTGAGGTGTATGAGCTCTTTATATATTTTGGATGTCTACCCTTTATCAAATCTGTCATTTATGAATATATTCTCTCATACTGTAGGATGCCTTTTTGTTCTATTGATGGTGTCCTTTGCTGTACAGAAGCTTTTCAGCTTGATATAGTCCCACGTCTTCATTTTTGCTTTTGTTTCCCTTGCCTGGGGAGATATGTTCATGAACAGGTTGCTCATGTTTATGTCCAAGAGATTTTTGTCCATGTTTTTTTCTAAGAGTTTTATGATTTCATGACTTACATTCAGGTCTTTGATCCATTTTGAGTTTACTTTTGTGTATGGGGTTAGACAATAACCCAGTTTCATTCTCTTACATGTAGCTGTCCAGTTTTGTCAACACCAGCTGTTGAAGAGGCTGTCATTTCCCCATTGTATACCCATGGCTCCTTTATCATATATTAATTGACATATATGTTTGGGTTAGTATCTGGACTCTCTATTCTGTTCCACTGGTCTGTTCTTGTGCCAGTACTAAGCTGTCTTGATTACTGTGGCTTTGCAGTAGAGCTTGAAGTTAGGAAGTGAGATCCCCCCTGCTTTATTCTTCTTTGTCAGGATTGTTTTGGCTATTCGGGATCTTTTGTGGTTCCGTATGAATTTTAGAACTATTTGTTGCAGTTTGTTGAATAATGCTGTTGGTACTTTGATATGGATTGCACTGAATCTGTAGATTGCTTTAGGCAGGATGGCCATTTTGACAATATTAATTCTTCCTACCCAAGAGCACGGGATGAATTTCCATTTGTTAGTGTCCTCATTAATTTCTCTTAAGAGTGTCTTGTAGTTTTCAGGGTATAGGTCTTTCACCTCCTTGGTTAGGTTTATTTCTAGGTATTTTATTCTTTTTGATGCAATTGTGAATGGAATTGCTTTCCTGATTTCTCTTTCTGCTAGTTCATCGTCAGTGTATAGGAATGCAACAGATTTCTGTGTCTTAATTTTATATCCTGCAACTTTGCAGAATTCAGATATTAGTTCTAGTTTTGGAATGGATTCTTTAGGGTTTTTTATGTACAATATCATGTCATCTGCAAATAGTGACAGTTTGACTCTTCATTACCAATCTGGATGCCTTGTATTTCTTTGTTTTGTCTGATTGCCCTGGCTAAGACCTCCAGTACTATGTTGAATAAAAGTGGGAGAGTGGGCATCCCTGTCTTGTTCCCGATCTTAGGTGAAAAGCTTTCAGCTTCTCGCTGTTCAGTATGATGTTGGCTGTGGGTTTGTGATATATGGCCTTTGTTATGTTGAGGTACTGGTCCTCTAGACACAGTTTATTGAGAGTTTTTATTGTAAATGGATGTTGATTTTGTCAAATGCTTTTTCGGCATCTATGGAGAGGATCATGTGGTTTTTGTCCTTCTTTTTGTTGATATGGTGGATGACGTTGATGGATTTTTGAATGTTGTACCATCCTTGCATCCCCGAGATGAATCCCACCTGATCATGGTGTATGATCCTTTTGATGTACTTTTGAATTCGGTTTGCTAATATTTTGTTGAGTATTTTTGCATCTGTGTTCATCAGGGATATTGGTCTGTAATTTTATTTTTTTGTGAGGTCTGCCTGGTTTTGGTATTAGAGTGATGCTGGCTTCATAGAATGAGTTTGGAAGTATTCCCTCCTCTTCTATTTTTTGGAAAACTTTAAGGAGAATGGGTATTATGTCTTGTCTAAATGTCTGATAAAACTCAGTGGTGAATTCATTTGACCCAGGGGTTTTGTTCTTGGGTAGTTTTTTTGATTACTGAATTCAATTTCATTGCTTGTACAAGTCTGAATTTTAAGGCCTATCTAACAAAATACTCAAAATTTCTTGTAATGTTAAGAAAACAATGCCTTCATTTATCAAGGAGCATTTGATGCTCCAAAGAAATGTATCTAAAGGTCTACTGTATATCAATGAAAGACCACTTTTCTCCTTTTACATCCCTCTTATTAGTCTGAATTTTCTGCAGATTTAATGTGATTTAAGGGAAATCTGCATTATCAGTTCCGAAGGAGAATTAGTACAACAAGTATCTTTTCAAAAGTGTGCTTTTTTTTGGGAATTTCAAATACAATCACTGTGGCATTTGTGGATTACATAAATTGAGAACAGAGACTGCATCTGTTTTTCCACCACTATACTTCCTGTTTCTAGAATAGTACTGGGCACAAAGTAGGCACACAACAAATTTTTCTGACAGAACTGTGGAAAATAAACAGAATACAAAAAATTGTGGAAAAGAAAAGTTACTGATAATCCACTTTCCACACAGTTGTTAAAAGTTTATTTCTCTTATGTTATATTAATTTATATCATTGAAATATTTATTTATCCTGCCTTTAAAAAATTTAATACAATAGTTTTTTGTTCATCAATCAACCTTTAAAATTTTTTTTGAATATGCAATGTGCCAGATGTTTTCTAGGATATGGGGAGAGAGCATGCAGAGCTAAACCCAGTCCTCAAAGCACCCCCATCAAATTTTAAGATCACTTGAATACCCACATAATACTATATCCTGTGGCTCTGATAATCTAATTAACCATTGCTTATTACTATATTATATTTTGGACATTTCCAATTTTTACCATTCTAAATACCCTGCAATGAACATCTTTTGGCATAACTCTGATTTTAAATTATGTCCTCAGGAGAGACACTCATACGTAGAATAACAGGTTAGACTGTCAATAGGTTCCATGTTAAAATTTTCTAAATGACTTTCCAGAAATACTGTTTTATTAGTAGTATATAGCAATGTTGTTCACTGACTGACATCTCAGCACTTTTATCAGTTTGATAAGAAAAAGAAGTACTTTTCAACCCCACAGCATCCTCCCTCCACCCATGCAAGGCTGCCATGAGCATTTCTCAACACTGAATCATCATGGAAGTGCCTCAACTGACAGCAGTCCACCTGGAGGCACAGGCACTAGGACATTTCCCTAATTCTTTTTCTAAAAATATATAACATAGGAATGGAGTAAGGAGAGTAAGTATTTGATAAACATTTTAAACAATAAAGATATAAACGTACAACAGAATAATTTTTTTTAAAATCTTACAACTCAACTGAGAAGTAAAAATTACATTAAAAAAATTCAGTAAGTATTATTTATTGAATATCTACCTTTGTGCAAGGTCTGCTTTTAGGAAATTAAAAACTAAGACAAAGTAAAGAAATAAGAAAAATAAAAACTCATCTCTTCAGAAATTTTAACTATTCCAAACTCAACATTCATTAAAAAAAGTAAACATTTCTATAAAGGCAGGATTTACACAAGTTTTTGGAAATTAAATTACTTTAAAAAATAGCTCCCATATTAATGAATGTGTAACATGTACTTGCTAACCTACCTCTTGCCCATCTTCAAGAATAATAGCTCCAGCCTGCTCCACCACCTCAAAAATCATCACTGAGCAGAGTTCTCTCCTTACAGACATAGTCATGTTTGCAAAAGCAGGGAGCTGGTGCATAAACTCCAGTAACTGTTCTGTAAAAGAAAAATTAATTCTAGTATAAAGACCATCAAGGACTACACTTTAAAGATACAATAAACTCTAGAATACCCAATTTCCTAATCAACTTGAAAATTTATGCTGGTATGGTAAAGTAGCGAAACCAAGGTACAAGATGACTGTTCATTGAAAAAAATCAGTTAATTGGTTAACACAGATATTAAGACTCACACGAAAATATAGGCATATTGGAAAATCAGAATTTACAACCTCCAGGGAGAACCAGAAACTACGAAGATTCAGATGAGCTAGAGAGTTTACCTAATTTTCTGCCCAAGATGCCACTCAATGGTGGTTAAGTGATTTACCTTCAATCTTACAGATTAGTAAAAAAAAAGTCTTTGTCTAGTTCTTATTGGTCTAGAGTTTTTAAAAAGTGTTATTAATAAATGTAAGTAATTAGGGATAACAAGGGTGAATTGTAGTTCAAGATTTGTCAAAGCAACGCAAAGTAACTCTCTTCAATTTAGCCAACATATGTCTCATGAGTGCCTATCTTAGGCCCTTTCCTAGTACAGGTATATGAGTAATAAGATTGACATAAGGAATAAACACACAGAAGCAGTAAGCTGAAGGCTGAAGAAGTAACTATGAGGGGCTATCTACCCACAGATAATTGGGAATTAATATTTCAATTTTTTTTAATCTATGTGAAAATAGCATAGTATACAATTCCTTATTAAAAATGGAAATTTCTGAACAGATAATTTTCATGATATGAGTCTAAATTGCAGGCTAATAACTATATATGTGTTATTAAAATGGCAAAGAAATGTTCTAATGTATTAATCTTAAGCAATCAAGTGACTAAAGCTCATGATTATTAGTATCTTCTAATTTGAATGACAATATGACTATTATAAAAGGGAAATCTAGGATACAGTCTTTAACTGAATCATTATAGTGTCACTAAGTAAAATCCTTGACCTTAAAGATAACATTAGCATCTTTAGTATTAACCTCCTGAGTATAGTAACTAGTTCTGTAAATGCAAAATTCATTTTAATGAAAAATTATATATATACATTTTTTTCAAGACAGAGAAGCAAAAATATGATTTTTGATAACATCAGAAATTTTTTCATTGACACTGGACACTGATGTACTATATTTTAAATGTCTTATAGACATGAAGGGGGAAATCACTTTAATGTAATCAAAGCTTTTATAATGCTGTCAGGGTGATCTGGCTGAAACATCTGTCACCCCACTGATTGCCGGGATTCACTTAGATTCTCTGGCTTGCCAGGCAGGTGTCTCCTCCTTTCCCAACCACTCCATCTGTGTCTGTCCCAAAACTATGGGCTTGGTCGAAGAGGACCACTCTCCCCAACAGGGGAGGATCATTCTTTAGTCAACTATTCCTGTAGCCATGCTCCCCTATAGAACCTCTAAATGAGCTTTCAAATTAGGACAGTCAGCCTGAAAGATGGCCCTAAATGATCCCTGCCTCCTGATACTCATCTCCTCATGCAGTCCTCCCTCCCTGCCTCTCCCCCGTCCATATATCAGGTTTGTACGGGTGACAAAGAGTGACTGGCAGAAGTGATGATGTATCATTCCTGAGGCCAGAACATAAAAGACACTGTGTCACCTGTCTTAGATTACTTGCTTTGGAGAAAGCCAATTGCCATGTTGCGAAAACTTTCAAGGAGTCTCTGGAGAGGCTCATGTGGCAAAGGAACTGAGGTATTGTGCCTAAAACCAGGTGAGTAGCCATCTGGGAAGTAGATCTTTTGCCGACATTCTGACTACAACTTCATGAGAGACACTGAGCCACACACTCAACTAGCCTGCTCCTGGATTCTGGACCCACAAAAACTATGAGAAAATAACAGTGTGTTGTTTTAAGCCACTAGATTTTGGGATAATTGGTTATGCAATAGGTATAAAATTGTTTTATATAAAAAATAAATTTGTATGTATATGGAATTCCTATATATAATATAAATATAAAATTTTAAAAATTTATATAAACTTAATGTTACATAAAATACAAATATAAAATACATATATTCTTATATATAACAAAATTCTTACTGCAAGGAGATGTATTTCTTACCAATGTCATCATCAGTTTTGTCTGCAGGTTCTTTTTCAAGACATTCCCGAACGATATCTCGCCCCTGCAACGGATCTGTTTGATCCATCTCTTCCTCTTCCTCTTCTTCATCTTCAGAATCGACAGGTCCTTCTGGTAGACGCGTTAAATCTACATCTCCCACCTCACTTTCAGTAGCCTACAGAAAGAAATGTTGATCACTTATTATTTCATGTTAAACAAACCGCATGTCAGTCTAAATTAATCAAAACTGCCTCTTCCTACCAAATAATGTAATTAGGCAACATTGTACGCTTTATCAAAGATAAAATACTTATTTATAAAAGGTTCTTTCTGCCCAAATACAGGCTTATTGTTCCAAAGTGTGACACCTATGTGATAAATTTGAGCCAGTATAAGTATACAATGGTCAGGAGACCCAGACATCATTACATGTATTAATATTTGTTTTTCAAAAAAACCTGTATTTCTTAAAGTACATTTCCTAGACCAGAAGTGCAGGAAAGTGAAAGTTTAACAAGAACAATGTATTAGTACCTATTAGTTTATTCTGGGTATTGTAAATAAGATCATTCTTTCACTACAGAGGTTTAGAGTCTAGTACAGTAGGCAATAATGTAAATTAAGAATGCAAGTATAAGAGGAGTACTGAAAGTGCTAAAATGGACCGTTGTAAAGGACTGAATACTCATTGCTTCCCAATACCTTACATTGAATCTAACAGTATGCAAAGAGCTGAGATTATACTAAACAATTTTTAAAATAAACGTATTTACAACCTCAACTTTGGAAACATATTAGTTTCAGATACTTATTAAGGAACTAGTAGATTATTTAAAAAGTACAAACAAAGTGTCATTTATAGAAAAATAACAAAGACATCTTTTAGGAAATAACTGTCCTAAAAGGAGATTTTAGGCAATGTTTCTAAATATTATACTCAGTTGATTCACATTATAAATGAAAAAGCATGACTACTGAAGCAGTTACATGAAAAAAGAGTACATACAGGAATTTCACTATAATAAGCAAGAAGTCAAGCATGAGTATTAGGGAAGACTACAGATCCTTCATTCAAATATTTCAGTCTTGTCTCCTGTACTGAACGTTTACTGTTTCCTGTACAGAAAACCTTCCTTCTTTTAGGCAATTGCTGTTCTTCTTCAACTTTACCAGAGATTCCAGGGGTAACAGTGTCTGTCCCCAGCTATGTAAACTAAGGAAGAAAAGCCTTTTCTCCAGATTTTCATAATTGGATCTGGAGGCCTGAGCAACCTTTCTTCTCTGGTAGCTGAACTAGAACACTTGTACTGCAGAGCAGCCTACAGCCATATTGGAATGTCTTTCTGTTGTGGGAGAAAATGGAACCAACAGGCAGAAAAAGGGGCAGGGGAATGGTGAGGAAGGACACTGATCAAGAGAGGCAGCCACAGAAAGACACAGATAAAGAAAGCAATAAAAAGAGAGCACACAGGACTGAGAGAGAAAAAGGATAGCACAGGCAGCAAAGAGCACTTGTGACAGAAAGTGTCAGAGAGAGACAGGAAGGACAAACAAGCAAGCTACAGGAAGCCAAAGGACTACGGACAGACTGCAAACACACCTGCAAGAATCCAGCTTCCCGAAGGCTGGAGCTGCTTTCTCTGTGGGGCAAGAAATTATCCTTTCTGGCTTTTGTTAATTCAACTTAAGGCTCTGATCCCTGCAAACTGAAAAAGTCCTTATTTGTTTTGTAAGGCCATGTTTTTATACTTCTTTGCATTTCTGCACAGCCTTAAGTAACATCTACTTAACAAACCAGATTAAACATCCAACCTGATGAAGATTAGACAAGGTAGCTCTTAAGGATCATAAAGAGAGAATCCTATCTCATGACTAGCATTCTGTGCTGTATTCTGGCTATGGAACTTTAGGGTTTAAGTGGAGTACATTTCTGAACAATTAGCTATGTAACCACAAGCTTATGATCAGGTTACAATCCCTTTTCAAAAGTAGTTTTAATTTAAATGTGTGTACATAACTAAAATGACTTTTCCAAAAACCTATTTACCTACATGATTTTAATCCAAGAAACTAGTGCTAAAAAAACACTAATGCAGTATTTTCTACACAAGTTAACTTCAGTTTTCAGACTACAGAACCTCACCTCTATAGGCTATAGGAATAGTCTTTTTCCACTTTTTCAATTTTTAAGGACAAGCTACCTTATAAATTTGGTTAAACCACCCGGTCTTCATCTTAACTGTGGGTTTTCTTCCCCTGACACAGACTATTTCAACCTAGTCTCATTCTCAACTTTCAGATGATCTTTGATGAAAAGATAGGTGGCTCTCAGCATTAAAAGGCAAGTTATGTGGACAACAGGGAAGGTTTACTGTCGTCTGTGTGAGAAGTGAAGACTACTACAAGAACTCTTTTAGGGATTTTTTAAGGCCATCTGCAAAGGAAAGAACATCATTCAGTCTTACAATTATCTTCTTTTAACCTGTACTTTCTTCAAAGTAGGATAAAAAGAAAGAGAATGAATAACATTAATTAAGAGAACATACGAAAGTGTTAAAATGTTAAAAGTGTTGTACGAGGGGTAAGGTGGAAAAGAATTATGAATAAAAAAATAAAGAGTAGCCAAAAGCATGCTAATAAATTTGAAAATAAGTAAATAAAACTAGCTATGCAGACTCTAAGGTCTGATTCCTTGACTAAACAAAGGTAAGCCAAGTCTTCAGGGGAATGGAAAGTATGATGACCACCAGGACTAGAAGTCTCCACATGATGCCTCCAAGAATGCAGTTCCTTGGCAGAAAGTTTAATTTTCTAATAATTATTCTAAGAATTTTAAAAGTGCAGTATCCACATCATCCAGCATACAATAAAAACTTCCTAGATAGGTGAAGAAGCAGGGAAATGTAATACATAATCAGGAGAAAAATCTATCAATCTAGAGACCCAGGAGTGACAGATTATGGAATTAGGTGACATGAGCTTTTGAGTTACTACAAATAAGTTCAAGGATTTAAAAGAAAATATAAACATAATTAGGGACAAATGGGAAATCTCAAAGAAATGTAAACTGTAGGAAGAGTAAACCTGAAAAACGGCAATACAAAAACTATCCAAACTGAAACAAGAGAAGATAAAAGCCAGAAAGAAAATTTAACCAAGCCTCAGACACTTGTATGATAGTATCACAAGTTTTTATACAAAAATGTAGGTCAAAGAGATAAGCCACATTCATTAAGGTAGGGTAAAGAAATAACAGCCTGGCCTTTCAAGTACTTTACAAGTACAAGCCTATTGTAGTAGGAATTCTTTTGGAATACAAAAGACCCAGAAAAATGATAAGTATAATTAAGCTCAGAAAAAAAAAGTATATTGGTGAAAGGGCTAATAAGACAAGTTTATTAAACTTTTTGTGCCTTTCCTTTCCTACAGTATGAATGTGTCTCTGTGTATATATGTAACTATAATTTGGTGAGGCAGACAGTCTACGGTGATTTTCTGATGATTTAGCCTTCCCCAAATAAACCATCAAAGGATATCCTTTACCTGTTTGCATCTAGATAAACAATGAAAACTATAGATCAGAATGAAAGTTGCAAAAACTTACAAAAACAAAAACATTTTCAAATTCAGAGTAAATATTAAGCCAGAGACTTAGATTTTCTCAGGGCTTATCTTTTTGGCATTCCCATTTTTAGTATTTTATTCAACCTTTTTCATGGACCACGTAGGTCTTTGTATTTCCTCTTTGTCTTTATGGTCTGGGCAAGAATACTGTGAGATCAATCCTTTGCAGTAATGCTTCTCAGGCTGCCCATTCCATAATCTCTATAACAGGGCAGGTGGGCAAAGTAAAGCCTCCTTTGCCCTGACTCATTAAGCCTTAGTGGGTAATCATCCTGAGTTTTCCTTGGGAACAATACTGGTTTCTACTTCTAAATGTAATTCAACTAAAAAAAGTTAGATTACTTCCTAAGTGCCAAACACTGTGCTTATTAACTCAGCATGGTATATACAAGAAACAAACACATTCTGATCTCCACAAATTTACCACAAGGATGCAAAATGTCAACTCTACAAAGTAACTAAACTAAAAAGCAACATAACCTACAAAAAATCACTGTGGGGATCCAAGATGTGAGAGACGATTTTACGATTTTAAACTGTCATGGAGGTGGAGCTGTAGGTGAAAAGAGTGTAACCAAAATACAGGGCTAGGAAAAACCAACCACATTCTAGGAAGAGCACATGTGTTTGTTTGAACCAGGATACAGAATGTGCAAGTGGGGAATAGTAGAATATAAAACAAGACTTGGAGATTATGGCTAAAAGTGAAAGGCTTAGAATCAGAATATGAATTTGAAATGAAATGAAGAGTACAAATTAGATAATGGTGAAGCATTGAAACTTTTAAGTCATAGAGGAGTGAAGTCATACTGTCCTTGCAATTTACTTTAAGTGAAGTTTAAAAAATGGGAGCAAAGATAACAGATTTTTGACAAGGACACAAATGATATTCTTAAGAGAAATACTAAAGACATGGAGAAGAAAACATGTGGTAGGGAAGCTAGTTGAGGCATCAAAAGAACATTGCCATAGAAACGGGCACCAGAGTTCTGGAGAAAGAGGCAGTAGAGCTCTGAATTAAGAAACCAGGCTGACGAGAGGTGGTAAGTGAAGCATTTAGAACTGTTTATTATTTCCTACACAGAAATCAAAAAAGATTGGTGGAGGATAAATATGTGTACTTGAGGTTATTTAAAAATAAGTTAATGAAAAGACAAGTGCTTCAGTTAAAAAATAAATTTCACAATATTCCTGGTCTTGGAAAAGATCAAAAGGAACAGAAAAAGGAATCTAGTAAAAAGCACTCCTTATTTAGGAGTGCTTCTTTGAAGATACAAATAATATTTTACCCAAGAACACTCTAAGATTTTAATGCATACTATTTGCTAACTTTTACGCTAATCTGATTACAAAGATACAGAGAAACCATTATTTACATATTTCCCCCAGAGTGTAGTAAATGTTCTATCTTGGAGGTTCTTTGAGAGCCAAGGGCTTTTATATGCATGCAAACTCTTGACAAGGAAATGCATAGGAGCATAGCAACACATTTGGCCATATAAAATGGTATAAACCATTTCCCTGTTAAGAATTGTTGTTAGGATGTCTCTCTTCTCTCTTCCCCTCAAATTAAAAATTAAAATACTTGTTGCACTGCTTCACAAGGCTATGCTTACACTACAAGCCATGACTGGGTCAGGTGTTCACTTTTAAAGGCTCTCAAATGCTGAAATTTGGATAACCAGACAAACCACTTCAATTATTGCTGGCAAGGTATATATTTTGGCAACGTACACCTGTAACTAAAAGGATGAATTCAGTTTTAACAGGTACTCCAAAGGAGACCTGAGGTCAAGGAAAAAACCAAGGGCCCACTATTGATTTAATTCTTCTTCCCTTAATTTTAGTCCTGAGGATCTGACTGGATACACATACATAACTTGGTTGGTGGTGTTTACCTTATCCATTTTTCTTTTAATTGTAGATACAGAAGTTCTACATTTTGGGGGAGATAATTTATGAACTGATTTTCATTCTGTTCTTATTCCTTTACCCCCATTAATTATTCCTTAGTATTTTCCCACAATTTTATTTAATTTCTACTTTTCACTATACACTCTATTTACATACAGCCTCTTTAAAATTTGTGAAATAAAGAAACACTAGTGTTTATTGAGAAAAGCTTAAGGAATAAAATAAAAACTACCCACAAACCTACCACCAGTAGGAAAACAGCATTACCACTTGGTTCCCTTAAAATCAGATTTACATTCCATGTAGACATATGCATAATATACATATTTCTTTCAAGATTCTGATTTCTTTTCCTTCTGTTGTTATCTTTGCTGGTTTTCATTTTAATCTTTTCCAACCTTTGTATATTATTCTAAGCTTAACTAAAGTCTGAGTTTAAGAAAGTTTTTCTTCTGTGGTTACTTTTAAATGATTTTATCTAGGATTTTTGCATATCTGACTTCAGCATTATGATAATTTTTCTCCTTTAACTTTCTAAATTTGTTTTGGTTCTATAATTTTATTGTTTTTGCTCCTTCTATCTGTCACTCTCCCTAAATTCATTAAAACTTACTTTTATCTTATGGTTGCTTTGTAAGTTTGACTGCATCATCTTTAAACTATGATTATGTGATATAAAGTATTTTGAGAAATACATATTTGGTCATTTATATGATCAAATATATATTTCCTAGGTAGATCTTGTCTTCATCCACAGTTCCTGAAAACACTGCAGAGTCTTAAAGGTGAAATGGGTGTCTTGTCATGTTAATGAGACTTTTGGACCCACCCAAGGGCAAGGCTGGAGGTTGGAACAACCAATGGTCAATAATTTAGTCAATCATGACTAAATTAAAATCATGACTCAATAAAGCCCTCACAAAAACCCTGGAGAAGAGCTTATCTCACTCGGTCTCTCTGTTCTGCTTGGCTGGATCCTGTTTCTTGGTCAGAGAGAGCTCCTAATCTTGGGGAGCCAGACACCTCCACATGCCACCGAGCCAGGCCCCAAACTCCACGAGGATAGATGTTTCTTTATTTGGGACCTCACCCTACGACTCTCTTCATCTGGCTGTTAACTCGTATCCTTTATTAAACTGGTAAAACATTAAGTTTTTCCTGAGTTCTGTGAGCCACTCTAGCACATTAATCGAACCCACGTGGGAGGTTGTGGGAACCTCTAATCTGTAGCCAGTAGTCAGAAGCACAGGTAACTGCCTGAGGCTTGCAACCGGTGTGTGGAGCGGGGGTGGAGGGCAGTCTTGTAGGATGGAGCCCTTAACCCGGGAATCTGGTGCTGTCTCCGGGCAGAGAGCATCAGAACTGAGTTGAGTTCTCCAACACCATGCTGGTGTTCGAGAATTGCTCGGTGTAAGTATGGATGGGAAGACCCCCGTCCCGGGTCCAGGAACCGGAATGAAGTTATACTACTGTTACTGCTGTGTATAATGCTGTTACTGTTACATGTATTAGGTAGGGAAAAAATACACCACTGCATTTGGTGTTGGACGTGTGGGAATCATAGATTCCATTTATGTGATCTTCTGGAAAATGCAAAACTACAAGGGTATAAACAAGATTGGTGGTTGCGAGGCACTGGGCTCGTCAGGAGAAGGGACTGACTATAAAGTAGCATAAAGTACTTTCTGAGGTGATGGAAATGTCCTATGTCTCTTTTACTATATGTAAATTATAACATAGTTAACATCAAACATACACAAACACAACTAATGAGGTAGGAAGCAGAACTGATAGGACTTTGTGCTGAATGTGATGATAAAGGAAGAATAGCCACTGTTAGTCGAGTTTCAGGGTTATGAAGAGGTATGCTCTTCACGTAAAGGAAGCACTCCTTGGTTGCAGGACAGTTGGCAAGGTTACCTGTCCACAGTTTATCCAAACTTAGAAAGAATCTAAAAAGGTAAAATGAGCTGTAGAGAATGCTACTGATGAAGGAAAACATATGGAAGGTTGAATAGGGCAGCCTTATACAAGGCCATGGTTCCACAGGGAAAACCTCCAACCACACTCGTATGTACATTCCAGCCTCAGTCTCAGGTGGGTCAGCCAGCAGGTGGACATCCTGGAGATGCTAATATAAGTGCAATGCTTCTGAAGTTCTTTCGGAATCTTGCCAAACATAGGATCTCACTGTGTACAGCCTGTGCTCTGGTTCATAGTAAAGCACTGGACTTTCAAGTTTTGACTTTGAATCTCAATCTGTGTACTGTGCTCTTGTTCCTTCTCTCACAACCATTCCTTGCTCTGTTCCTTGCTCCAAAAAGGTCATCATATCTGGCTCAGAAATGGATACCCTAGTGAAACCAGGTATCTATAGCTCATCAACAACACATCTCTGCTGTACAGGCTTTCTTAGCAAGGTCCAGACATTCTCACTTATCCTGAAATCTATAGCCAAATTCCTGAACTTCCTCAATCCAGGGTCAGTCCTCCCTAGGGCTGTTCACTAGGAAAAACAGAGTCCAGAAAATAACAGCTCTACTTCAACTTCTGTGTGTGATGGAAATGTCCTATGGACATTTGTTTTTTCCAAGACTTCTTTTGGGGAGGGGCAGAAGGAATGGAGCCCAACACAGAAAGCAGCCCCAAAGCCACTGCCCTGTTTTTAACTTAATAAAAATTCCTTGTTCTCTCTGCTATAAAATGGTGAACAGGGAGATTTTACTGTTCTATCAATGATAAAATGTAAACAGAGACAATGCAGATGCCAGAGCAATGACCTTTGTGGAGAAAGCCATTCATAAACCAAATATGGGGTCTTTTTCTCCATTTTGCATCTGCCTGAAAGTTCCCTTAACAGAGGAATGCCGATTTCCCTAAAACTTCTGAATCCGGGGAACTCAATGGAACCAGAGCCTAATATGTTTTCCTCATACAATGATGATTCTATTTCAACTGATCAGCACCATATGGCAGCCCCTGGCCACATGTGGCTGTTGGGCACCTGAAATGTGGCTACTCTGAACTGAGATGTGCTGTTAAGTTTAAAGTCTGGCTTTTAAAGACAGTATGAAAAAGTAACTCATTCATAATTTTTAAATACTGATTACATGTTATAATGATAATATTTGGATAAACTTTCTACATAAAATACATTAAAATTAATTTTACCTATTTTCCTTTTCATTTTTTAATGTGGCACTAAAAAATTTAATAGAGCCTTTCCAATACAAAAGAAAACTCTAATCTTCATGACTTTATTGATAGAACACTTATACAGTCAATTGTAAGAAAAATCAGCCCTTTTGTAAGTTTAAGGTTGTTTTAAGAACAATTTTCTACCAAAACAAGCACATACTAATATGGATTTGCCTGGGAAAAAAAACCAACAACACATTGTATTACATACTGCTAAACCATTTTAATCACTCGCAAAAGATACATCACTTTTTAAATAAGGTGTGCAAATTTGAAACTGTATATAAAGCATATTTACCCAAGACCTTATGTCTGAATTTCATATGCTAATTAGAAGATATGTGACCAAGCACAAAATATCTGGCATAATAAAAAAGCCATAGGTACAGCACAAAAACTCCTAAGGTATTACCTGATAGATATCAGATAAACTGCTGCTCCCAGAGTCACTGGCGATGCTACAACCAGACTGACTAGAAGACACATGAGTCACCTGTGGATGAGGGTTGTCTGTGATATGCATCTTGGTAAGATCGGCTGGAAGCTGAAGAAAAAAACAATTTTAAGATTCTAAATATCAAACTTTATAAGAGTTTTGGACACATTGTAACTTCTGCAACAAATTCTTACTTTATGTACATTACTTTGTAACCTCATTCTTATGAAAAATCTTAGGAAGAACTGCATGAGCACTCTGATACTGCTAAGCCCCCTGATTACCATTTGTAATGATATTTCAGAGAAAAAACTGGGCCCTCTTTTCCCCCAAATAAAAATATCAAGGGTCGCCACTGTAAAGGATAGGAATGCTCTGTCTCACAAGTACCACACTCCCCCACAACCCCAAATATTACTACGAAATGGTAACTAATACCAGAATAAAACCACCATATTTTGGATTAACATACAGCATCTGGCAGCAAGATTTAAGAAAAGTTAAGTTGTTGCATTCAATTTTCCAAAAATTTAGTAAGCCTCTCTTCACTTAGTATTGTATTAGTTTGTACCTGGCCCCTAAAACCTTTTTAGTTATCATAATGTAATGAATGGATATACTAGTATAGGGATACAAGAAACACAGAAGGAAATGATTCCACCCCCTCATCTTTAATCTGGTCATACTTTTTTTTTTAAATCAGGGATGCAGGTTGTACAATATATTTCATACCATATAAAAAAAAAACATAAAATAGCCACAATAAAAGGCACCATGCTGCTGCTGCTCTCTCTCTCTCTCTGTCTCCGTCTCTCTGTCCCCCTGCTCGCTCTCTCTCTCTGCTCTCTCTGTCCCGCTGCTCTCTCTCAGTCTCTCTGCACCCCCTCCCTCTGGGGCAGTCACTCTCTCTTTCAGATAATAAAGTCTCTTGCGTGGGAAAAAAAAAACATAAAATATATGCCGGAGGAATTAAGAAACAAACCACTGTCCTTCAGAATAGTCAAAGTTTTACATAGGAAGTATGGTGACATATTTTCCAAATCATTTCTCCGCAACTTGCCATTTATAAAAATTAAAGAAATCTATTAACTTTTAAAAACAAGGTTTCTCATTACTTTAGTAGAGAAAAATGTTAAAGAAATGAATGTGTAACAGTGGAAACTAAGTATACTTTAAAGGAGAAAATGGCCAAGTCTGAATTATATTATCTAAAGAGGAGTTATTGTAATTATAAAAACTACACATGAAGAAATTATATGACAAAATTCCCTAGCTGATAAAGGTGGGTTAGGTAATTCAGATGAATTCCATAAATAAGATAAACAGAAAAACAGGAATATACAAATACAATCTGGCTTTTGAGGATGTTTTTTCCTAGTTAGTATTTTCTGATTCCTAAAAAGAAGGCCAACAGGCTGAGAAATATTCCCAACAGTCATTCATCAAAGAGACAAAAGCTATATTCCAAGGCTTAGCATGGAACTGCCATACTTTGAAATTGGAACCCTGGGAAGTATATTGCACTCTAGGAGTAAATATGATCCAAAAGTATCTTGAGGTCCATTTTAGAATCACCTCAATCCCTGATGCTGGATTAAGATTATACAGGATTACCAGAGCTTCCAGTGAAGTACTGGAAGCAAACACAAATCACCATAGGAAAAAGTTATCCTAGGTCTCAAGTTATCTTACAATTTTTGCATATACAACACCCACTGCATAAAACCAGGCATATTAGAAGACAAGATGGCACTGATGAAAACTAAGAGAAATAATAAACTCTAGAAAAAAAGTAACGAAGAACTTTCAAATAATGGAGTTATCAGAATCTAAAGTAACTAAACGTAATAAATATATACACCAGGGGTTGGCAAACATTTTCTTTAAAGTACCAAAAAGTATATATTTTAGGCTTTTGCAGGCCATATATAGTCCTTGTACTACACTTTTCTTTAATCTTTTTTTTTTAACCATTCTTAGCTCACAGGTCATACAGCTCACTGGCCATATGTGGTCCAGTTTAGCAATCCAGGATTCACAGAAAAAGACAAGACTAAATATTTTAGCAAAGAAATAAAAACTAACAATGAAATGAAAATTCCAAAATTGAAAAATACAATTGTGTAAATTAAAAAGTCAACATATGGACTCAATAATGGATTTGACATAGCTAAAAATAAAATTAGCAAAGTAAAGACTGTTGTGAAAAAATATCCAAAAGGAAGCATGGTAGGCAAAAACTATGAAGATAGGAGAGGAGGGGCAGGAGGGGCAGGAGCGGCAGGAGATGGCTAACCTAAGATTGTAACATCTAAATAACCAGTTACAGAAACAGAAAGTGTTTAAAGGCATAGAAGATGATGGCTGAGCAGTTTCCAAAACTGAAAAAAAAAAAAAAAAAGATAAAAAGTCATAGATCAAGCAGGTTTAAGAATTAACAGCAAGATAAGTAAAAACAAAACCACACACCTATGTACACCAGGGTAAAACTGCTGAGGGGAAAAAGACAAAGAGAAAAGTCTTACAAGCAGTCAGGAAAAAGAGATTACTTTCACGAAAAGAAAATTAAATTGATGGCTGACTTCTCAACAGAAATTTGGAAGGCAGAAGACAATGGAGTGATATCTTCAAGAGCTAGTATTCTATAACCAGCAAAAACAGTACTTAAAAAGGCCAAATGAAGTCATTTGAAGAGAAACAAAAATGAAGAGAAATATTCTCCAGCAGACCTGCAATGAAGGAAATACACTGGGAAAAAGAAAATGATTCCAGACTGTAGTTTCTAGATGCAGAAAAGAAGGAAAAACAAACAACAGAATGAAAGCCTGGAGAAAGGTAAATGAAGTTATTAAAGTGCTCTAAGTTACTGTACTGTACACGAAACTGCAGCAACCCACTTGATAGTTGGAGGATATATTGTTGTAATCTTTAAGGAAAGCAGTACATAACGACCAAGCTAAGAGGGAAAAATATTAAATATTAAAAGAATGGAAAGAATATACACCATGCAAATATAAACCAAAGAAAGCTTATATAGTTATATTAATGTCAGATAAAGTAGATTTTGGGGCAAAAGCATTAGTAGAGACAAAAAGGGGCATTTCATATTAATAAAAGGTTCAACACTAAATAAATATGAATCTAGTAACAGCCTCAAAATGTGTAAGGCAAAAAATGAAAACAATGAAAGGGGAACTAGATGAATCCACAATTATGTTGTGAAATTTTACCACAGATTTCAGTGACAAAATAAATAAAAAATAAGTGAAATACAGAAGATGTGACTGTAATTAACAAACTTGATCTAAAGTGTACACAGAACATTGCTACAAAAAACTACAGAATACACATTCCTTGAGGGTACACAAAAGAACATTTATAAAAACTGACAATAAGGCAGGCCTCAACAAGTTTCAAAAGATTTAAATTGTACAGACAATATCTCAGATCATAGCATAAATAAGTAACAGAAAAGAACTAAGTAACAAAAGATAACTAGAAAATGATTACAGAGACAGGAGTAGAGGACAGAAAAAAAGATGGCAGTGTAGGAAAGCAAGGCAAAAACCTCCTCCCCAAATCACATAGAGCACAAAAATACAGCAAATACAACTAGGCCAGAGATGAACCCGAAGATTACAAAACGGGCCACCTACATCTGGGGAAGAAAAGACGACCCTACAGGAAAGGGTAAAGTACAAAGTTGTGATTCAGCGGGACCCAAACCTCCCCCAACCCTGGCCCACAGGTGGGAGGAAGAGGAATGGAGCAGAGAGGGAGTAGAAGCCCAGGACCCTGAACACCTGGCCTTGTAGATCTCCTCTGGGAAAAAGAGCCCACACTGCACAGTGCCCTGGTGACTGGTGTGGCTGGACAACAGAGACAGGTGGAACACCTTGGGAGGCTGAGATATCAGCAGCCTGGGGAGCACAGGCACGCTCTACCAACCCCGAGATAGACAGCAGAGCAGGCAACTTGAAAGACTTCCCAGTAGTGAGAGGGGTGACAGAGGGGAGGATTGCACAGTGCTCTCCTATTTAGGAGAAAGGTAGGGTGGACAATACCTCCCTACCCACCCTCAGCCCAACAGGTTGGGAGCCCTCAGGAGCTTCAGATGCTCTATTTCCCTTGCTGACAACACATACCAGAGACTCATCACAGTGGTGCACAGCCTGCTGGTCAGAAGTGAAAACAAACTTTACTCCCAAGTAGGCATGGGGCAAACCCCAGTCTGCTCAGCCCGATTTTGGGACAGCTGGGGAGCTGCATGCAAGAGCCAAGAGCCAGCCCTAATACCTCTTCCCTCCCGGCAGGTGCTGGTCTCATGTGCCTACGACCCCCGCCAAGCAGCAAGCTGGAGGGAAGTCAGCTCCACCCATAGCAGCTCCAGACGAAATTCTCCCCACTCCTGTAATCAGCTAATGGCCCACACAGACCACCTGACATCAGAACACCAGGAGCAAGGCACCCACTGCATGCCAACAGCTGGGGCTCCTAAACAGAAAACTGAGCTTCTAGGCACTAGATGGGGCCTCCTACACAAACCTATTATCCCATAAGAAATACACACACACACACACACACAAACAAAATGATGAGAGGAATGTGGTCCAAAAATTTAAGAAAAAATGCCAGCAAGAGGGTTAGTGAAACTGAAATGACCAATCTGCTTGATAAAGATTTTGAAACAGAAGTCATAAACATGTACCTGGAGCTACAGAAAACTCAAGATCTGAGGGAGGACTTCGACAAAGAAATAGAAGTTTTGAAAAATATAATATCTGAAACATACAATGGAGGAATTTAAAACTAGATTAGATGAGGTAGAGGAGATGGTGAAAATGAAGTAGAAATCAGAGAACAGAAAAACAAAAACTGAGGAACAGAGAGATAAAGGGATCTCTAGGAACAAAAGAATAGTTGTGTGACCAATCCAAATGGAATGTTGGCATTATAGGGGTATGAGCAGAAGGAGAGAGACAAAGGTATAAAAAGTCTCTTTGAGGAAATAATTGTTGAAAACTTTCCCAGTCTGGTGAAGGAAATAGACACTCAGGTCATGGAAATGCAGAGATCTCCTAACACAAGCAACTATAGGAAAACAACAC